AGGGGAAAGTGAGGGGATAGGAGTGAGTGACGAAGGTGAGGGAAATGTGAAGTAGGGTAGAGAGAGAGTGGTGGAGATTAGTGGAGGAGTGCTACCGTGTGTGTGACTGGTTGAGCCACTGCCATGGTTCAGAGAGTTGGGGAGGAATGAAAAACATCCCAGATATTTTCCAGAGCTCTGGTTTAGTGGAGTCAACCGCTTTGAGCTGGCTAGGGAGAGGGAAGGGAGAGAGAGGGAAGGGAGAGAGAGAAGGATGAGAGAGAAGGATGAGAATAGGAGTCTGGAAGCACAAACACACGTTCATTCAGTCACACACACAAACACACACAGACACACAGACACACACACACACACAGTCTGGGATATGGATAGGGTGGAGTGGGTCATGGCTGAGGCTCATTGTTGTCGAGGCAGCCAGGCTTCCTGTTGGAAGCAGGGAGGAGGCCCATCACCACAACACAGCTGTGACACACAGACACACAATCCACAACACATATTGTTCTATTTTAGCATCCCTGTTCTCTTAGAAACTCCTACACGTCGTCTCCTGGCGTGGAAAAGCAGCACTTTCACACAATATTTACTCAGAATCCAATAAAACACTTTAATTATAGAACAAGATCAAAGACAGACCTCCACACAACCGCTTCCAGGTGATTATACGGTGTAGAAAAACAATGACTTAGATGAGACTCCAAAGAGGACAAAACTCTTACTCACTTTTATTCATTTACCATAGAAATCACCCTCCCCATTGTTCATTCTCACAAACGCAACTCAACTGTTTTGTACTACTTTGCCAGTATAAAGCAAACAGTAGTTCGAGGCACTTACGAGAAATCCTTTGTCTTAGTATTCTACTCTCTCATTTTAATTTAATCAAATCAAACTTTATTGATCGCGTACACAGATTTGCAGATGTTATCGCAGGTGCAGTGAAATGCTTGTGTTTCTAGCAGTGCAGTAATACCTAGCAATAAAATAAAATAAACAATACACAAATAATCCCCCAAAATAAGAAATATATATTTATATTCCGGTCTCTGACATTGTTCGTTCTGATATTTCTTATTTTGGGGGGATTTTTTGTGTATTGTTTTTATTTATATATATTTATATATACAGTTGAAGTCGGAAATTTACATACACTTAGGTTGGAGTCATTAAAACTTGTTTTTCAACCACTCCACCAATTTCTTGTTAACAAACTATAGTTTTGGCAAGTCGGTTAGGACATTTACTTTGTGCATGACACAAGTAATTTTTCCAACAATCGTTTACAGACAGATTATTTCACTTATAATTCACTGTATCACAATTCCAGTGGGTCAGAAGTTTACATACACTAAGTTGACTGTGCCTTTAAACAGCTTGGAAAATTCCAGAAAATGATGTCATGGCTTTAGAAGCTTCTGATAGGCTAATTGACATCATTTGAGTCAATTGGAGGTGTACCTGTGGATGTATTTCAAGGCCTACCTTCAAACTCAGTGCCTCTTTGCTTGACATCATGGGAAAATCTAAAGAAATCATCCAAGACCTCATAAAAGACCTCCACAAGTCTGGTTCATCCTTGGGAGCAATTTCCAAACGCCTGAAGGTACCACGTTCATCTGTACAAACAATAGTACGCAAGTATAAACACCATGGGACCACGCAGCCGTCATACCGCTCAGGAAGGAGACGCGTTCTGTCTCCTAGAGATGAACGTACTTTGGTGCGAAAAGTGAAAATCAATCCGAGAACAACAGCAAAGGACCTTGTGAAGATGCTGGAGGAAACAGGTACCAAAGTATCTATATTCACAGTAAAACGAGTCCTATATCGACCTAACCTGAAAGGCCGCTCAGCAAGGAAGAAGCCACTGCTCCAAAACCACCATAAAAAAAGCCAGACTACGGTTTGCAACTGCACATGGGGACAAATATCGTAATTTTTGGAAAAATGTCCTCTGGTCTGATGAAACAAAAATAGAACGGTTTGGCCATAATGACCATCGTTAAGTTTGGAGGAAAAAGGGGGTTTCTTGCAAGCCTAAGAACACCATCCCAACCATGAAACACGGGGCTGGCAGCATCATGCTGTGGGGGTGCTTTGCTGCAGGAGGGACTGGTGCACTTCACAAAATAGATGGCATCATGAGGAAGGAAAATTATGTGGATATATTGAAGCAACATCTCAAGACATCAGTCAGGAAGTTAAAGCTTGGTTGCAAATGGGTCTTCCAAATGGACAATGACCCCAAGCATACTTCCAAAGTTGTGGCAAAATGGCTTAAGGACAACAAAGTAAAGGTATTGGAGTGGCCATCACAAAGCCCTGACCTCAATCCTAAAGAAAATGTGTGGGCAGAACTGAAAAAGGATGTGCGAGCAAGGAGGCCTACAAACCTGACTCAGTTACACCAGCTCTGCCAGGAGGAATGGGCCAAAATTCACCCAACTTATTGTGGGAAGCTTGTGGAAGGCTACCCAAAACATTTGACCCAAGTTAAACAATTTAAAGGCAATGCTACCAAATACTAATTGAGTGTATGTAAACTTCTGACCCACTGTGAATGTGATGAAATAAATAAATAAAAGCTGAAATCAATCATTCTCTCTACTATTATTCTGACATTTCACATTCTTAAAATAAAGTGGTGATCCTAACTGACCTAAAACAGGGAATTTTTACTAGGATTAAATGTCAGGAATTGTGAAAAACTGAGTTTAAATGTATTTGGCTAAGGTGTATGTAAACTTCCGACTTCAACTTTATATAGGATGAGCCATGACTAGAATACACTGTTTTCATATAAAGTGGGTTGAACAGTATGTAAACATTATTGAAGTGACCAGTGCTCAATGACTCTATTTACATGGGGAGGCAGTCTCTAAGGTGCAGGGTAGAGTACCGGTGGTAGCCGGCTAGTAACAGTGGCTTAGGTTCAGTTCAGGGTACTGGGTGGAGACCGGCTATTGGTGACTAACAGTCTGATGACCTGGAGATGGAAGCCGTTTCTCAGTCTCTCGGTCCCAGCTTTCATGCACCTATACTGTCTCCACCTTTTAGATGGTAATGGGGTGAACAGGCCGTGGCTCGGGTGGCTGAGGTCCTTGATGATCTTCTTGGCATTCCTGTGACACCAGGTGCTGTAAATGTCCTGGATGGCAGGCAGTGTGCCCCCGAGATGAATTGAGCTGACCACACCACCCTCTGGAGAGCCCTGCGGTTGCGTATGGCGCAATTGCCATACCAGGCGGTGATACAGTCAGAGAGGATGCTCTCTATGGTGCAATTGTACAAATTCGTGAGGGTCTTTCGGGCCAAGTCAAATTTCTTCAGCCTCCGGAGGTTGAAGAGGTGCTGTTTTGCCTTCACCATGCTGTTTGTGTGAAGGAACCATATCAGGTTGTCAGTGATGTGCACGCCGAGGAACTTGAAGCTTTTGATCCTCTCCCTGTCAATGTGTATGGGGGAGTGCTCCCTCTGCTGTCTCCTATATTCTACGATCAGCTCCTTCGTTTTGTTGACGTTGAGGGAGAGGTTATTTTCCTGGCACCACTCTGCCAGGTCTCTCACCTCCTTCCTGTAGGCTTTCTCTTCGTTGTTGGTAATCAGGCCTACCACTGTTGTGTCGTCAGCAAACTTGATGATTGAGTTTGAGACGTGTCATTGTTGAACAGGGAGTACAGGAGGGGGCTGAGCACGCACCCCTGTGGGGCCCCCGTGTTGAGGATCAGCGAGACAGAGTTGTTGTTGCCTACCTTCAACACTTGGAGTCGGCCCGTCAGGAAGTCCAGTACCCAGTTGCACAGGGAGGGGTTCAGACCCAGTTCCCTGAGCTTAGTGATGAGCTTGGAGGGCACTATGGTGTTGAAGGCTGAGCTGTAGTCAATGAACAGCATTCTTACATAGGTATTACTCTTGTCCAGGTGGGATAGGGCAGTGTGCAGGGAAATGGCGATTGCGTCACCCGTGGATCTGTTGGGGCGATATGCGAATTGTAGTGGGTCTAGGGTGTTGGGTAAGGTGGAGGTGATATGGTCCCTAACTAGCCTCTCAGCACTTCATGATGACAGAAGTGAGTGCTACGGGGCAATAGTCATTTAGTTCAGTTACCTTCGCTTTCTTGGGTATAGGAACAATGGTGGACATCTTGATGCAAGTGGGGACAACAAACTGGGATATGGAGAGATTTAATATGTCCGTAAACACTCCAGCCAGCTGGTCTGCACATGCTCTGAGGACGCTGCTTGAGATGCCGTCTTGGCCGGCAGCCTTAACACGCTTAAATGACTTACTCACGTTGCCAACGGAGAACGAGAGCACACAGTCCTCGTGAGCGTCGGGGGCCTGCGTCGGCGGATCGATTTCAACAACTCTACTAGTCCTTCTGTTTGTCTTCCAGTCATTCTTCCCACTGTTCTCAGAGTTACTCTTCTGTCCCGGTCCCTGGGCTTAGCCAGGTCTGGTTTATGTGTATGTTTTCCAGTTCTGGGCTGTAGGCTATGTGTGTGGCCACTGAGGTTTGGCATCTCCACCATTGGGAACCACCATGGCTAATTTAGAGTCCATGTAATCTATATACAGCTCTATGGGAAAGCAGCCATTTTGCATTTAAGCCCCGTATTTGATTTCAGGCTTTGACTCAGTGGACTTTGGGCTGGTTTTCTTTAGAGTTGGACGCCCATTGTCATCATGCCGTGTCTCCAGCTCTAGATGAAGGCGTGTGTTTGAGTAATGTGGCCAGACAGGCAAAGGGTGTGTTCAACTCCCCCTTTTCCAGCCACCCTTACTTCCTAGCTCTCTAATCCTTATAATCTCTTTCTCCTCCCTCCCTATTTTTCTTCCCTCGCTCTCCCTCTTCTCTCCCTCCTCCCTTTATCTCTGTCTCTCTCTCTCTCTCTCTCTTTCTCTCTCTCCCCGCCTCCCTTTCTCTCCCCCCTCTCCCTCTTCTCTCTCTGTCTCAGGCGGTGGAGAGGGAGCAGGTGGACAGTATTCAACCCAAGCTGCAGCGCGTGAACGCGGTGGGCCAGGGCCTGATCCAGAGTGCAGCCAAACACACAGACACCCAGGCTCTGGAGCACGACCTAGAGACCACCAACCTCAGATGGAACTCCCTCAACAAGAGGGTAAGTCTGTCTATCTGTTTGTTTGTAATGGTATGTCTGTGCTGATGTTTGTGCTATGGTTTGTGTCTGACTGAGTATGCATATTTATGTGTTGCGTTTGTTTGGTGTGTGCGAATGGAGGGATGGGTTTGTATGGAATCAGGTTTATGTCTTTGTGCATGTATGTCCATGTCAACATTGTCCCCCTCACTCACTGCATTGTTCCTTGACCAGGTTGCAGAGCGCATTGCCCAGTTGCAGGAAGCCCTGTTGCATTGTGGGAAGTTCCAGGATGCCCTGGAGCCTCTTCTGAGCTGGCTGAGTGACACAGAGGAGCTGGTAGCCAATCAGAAGCCCCCGTCAGCTGAATACAGAGTGGTCAAGGCCCAGATCCAGGAACAGAAGGTGATGAGTGGCGAAAGGGATGATAGATGGAATGATGGATGAGTATCTAGATGGAGAGATAGATAGATAGATTGAGGAACATATATTTTATTTCAATACCAAGTATTTTCCCTATATCATATACAGAGTCATTATGACTAAGAATTGACTGGTCATTAGAGACATTTGGAACCTAGATTTGGATAAAATGAGCTTAATAAGAACTTTGATTCATATATTTGCACTTTATTTATTCATAGATAATAATATAATTGGCTATTCGTGTTATTCAGTTGTCCTTATTTTCACCAAGAAACATTTAGCACATGAAAGGGGGAAACACCCACACACATCTTTTGGCGGAGGAAAAGTCTGCCAGTCTGGTTGGCATACAACACACCAGTTCACAGAGATGACGGATTACAATGGTTTTTCAGAGAAACCGAGAGGCAGAAAACACAATGCCTGCTCTCCCTGTTTATCTGACACACTTCCCGTGTTTGCGTGTCGAGGAGCACGGAGGATTCAGCCACTTCACTCAGTCATACGTGTTTACATCCGCCACTGAAAGTAGAGCCTCACTGAGGGTCAGTGGAGAGGAAACTGGAGATGAGTGCCGTTTAACGGGGGCCCGTTCAACGTCACTGAACAGTTATGAATGTTTTCAGAAAGGGAAGTACTGCCAAATTGAGCTACTACTCATAGTGAACGTCCTCAAAAGAGGAGTGGCCTGATATTTGAGAATAATATATTGTTGAGGAACACTGCAAAACATTGCGGTATTGAATGTGAAGTATGTTCTAGCTATCTTACCAACTGTTTAACGCAGAAATCCTTCTGGTCTTGAATATACCCCTAACCCTAGTATACATGCAGAACAAACATTATGAGAGTTGGTATTATTTGTGGTGTTGAACGTACCTTCTATGTCTGTCATTTTCCAGCTGTTACAAAGACTACTGGACGACCGCAGAGCCACTTTTCAGATGATCCAGGGAGAGGGAGAGAGGATTGCAGCTACGGCCGAGACTCAGGACCGAGACAAGATCCAGAAACAGCTGGAGAGTCTGGGAGAGAGATGGGGCGAGCTGCTGGAGAAGGCCATGGCAAGGTAACGTACATTATTGTATGGACACACTACACATAAGAATTGATAGAACCAGTCCTCATTCATCGTGTACATGCACCACAGTCAGCGAATACATACACACTCAACACCACATAAAGACTCTTACACATGCATAGTATGCACACACACACACACACACACACACACACACACACACACACACACACACACTAGCCTACCTACTTCACTACCACTACTTCAGTACACAACCCACACATTCCTGACTGTCACATCGGACTACTTATTTAGATCTACAATGAGACATTGATATACAAAGGCGACCCAAACCCTCACTCCCTCCTCCTCCCCCCTCTGCAGGCAGTGCCAGTTGGAGGAGCTGCAGACGCTGGCACTGCAGTTCCACGAGGCGGTGGAGCCTCTAGGAGAGTGGCTGAGTGCCACAGAGAGACGCCTGAGCACCGCCGAGCCCATGGGAACCCAGACAACTAAGATCACCCAGCAGATTACGAAACACAAGGTAATGTGGATGACGGTAACGTGGATGACGGTGTCACAAGCTAACGTGGATGACGGTAATGTGGATGACGGTGTCACAAGGTAACGTGTCCCTCTCGACACATGGATTGTGTTGAAGTCCCTGGAATGAAACTAGGGAGAGAAGAGGATGGTACCGGAATGAAAAACGGGTTACTTTCCAATGAGAGAAAGAAAGGGAACCCCAGGCTCAACCATTTCCCCCTCATCATTTTGATATGATTTCAATATTATATTTCATTGAACCTTTTTTGTTGTTTATGATTTTATGTTGTCGTTATTGTAAGTTATCAGCATAGTTAGCACTCATTCATTCCTTATGATTCATGGCCATTCCTGATGATTTATGGCCATTCCTTATGATTCATGGCCATTCCTTATGATTTATGGCCATTCCTTATGATTTATGGCCATTCCTTATGATTTATGGCCATTCCTTATGATTTATGGCCATTCCTTATGATTTATGGCCATTCCTTATGATTTCTCATCTGCATGCTCTCATTTTATTTTATTTGTTTTTTTCTTCTGTTCTTCCTCCTCTCTCCTTTACCCCCCCTCCCCTCATCTCCCCTCCACCCTCTCCTCTCCACACACACCACACCAGGCCGTCGAAGAGGCCGTCTCCTCTAGAGGAGCCGAGGTCGACCGCCTCGAGGCCCTCGGCCAATCCCTGGCGCCCCTCAGCTGCGCGGCCGACCGTGATTGGCTGGGGGAGCGCGTGGGGGCGGTGCGGCTAGGCCATTCGGAGCTCAGTGATTGGTGCCAACGCAGGGCCGTCATGCTGGAGCAGGCCTTGGCCAATGCCCAGCTGTTTGGGGAGGATGAGGTGGAGGTGCTCAACTGGCTGGCTGAGGTGGGCCAGCGGCTGGGACAGGTGTCGGTGCAGAGCTACCAGCCGGGGGTCCTCACCCAGCAGCACAAGCACACACTGGTACGATACTATGGTTTGGACAGGGAGTAGCTATTCATTATCACACAGTGGTAGGATACTACCGCACTACCACAGGGAGTATTGTATTGGCTAGTACTGTCTAGACATTGAGTAGCAATATGAATGACTTCTATTACTCTCTATAGGGTGTTCATTCTATTTTCTCTCCACTTCCCCCATCAGTCTTTGAATGAAGAGATCGTGAGCAGGAAGAAGCAGGTTGACCAGGCCATCAAGAACGGACAGGCCCTGCTCAAGCAAACCACAGGTACAGTACAACCTCTTAACTCTGGAAACTACGAAATCTCCCTTCCCTGATTCTGGACCGGCTCTCCCGTGGCCCGCATCTAACCATCACCAGCCAAACAGCCAGAACTGTTCCTGGACCTGTCGTTATAAAGGCATATTATAACCACGGAGCCTGGATTCCACTGACTCTGGGTCTGTTGTTAACCCCTGCAGGTGAAGAGGTTCTGCTGATCCAGGAGAAGCTGGACGGTATCAAGTCTCGCTACGCTGAGATGACGGCCGGGAGCAGCAAAGCCCTCCGCACACTGGAGCAGGCCCTGCAGCTGAGCACGCGATTCGCCAGCGCCCACGACGACCTCAACCAATGGCTGGACAAGGTGGAGGCGGAGCTCAACGTCATGGAGCCCGACGCCACGCCGGCCTATCAGGACAGACAGAAGGTAGGGGCCGTTTTCTTAACAGTATGCTGTGAATATATAATATATGCTGTGTAAACATATTTACAATCTTCAATATTTCCAGATGTTCAGTGGTCATTTCAATTAATGACAAACCCATTGATTCTTAAAGAATAACTTATAGATTCCTTATTCCTTAGCCCAACTGTCTTGTGGTTATTATAATTGTTCTTACTGTAGCGTAAGTAGGACTTATATCTTGAGTTGAAGATACTCAATCTGTGTGTGTGTGTTTCTCTCCCAGGAGCTGAAGTGTGTATCAGCGGAGAAACGTCTGGTTTTGGACACGGTCAACGAGGTGGGCAATGCCCTCTTAGACCTGGTGCCCTGGCGTGCCCGTGAGGGTCTGGACCGCCTGGTGGCTGACGACAACCAGCGCTACCGAACGGCGGACGAGACCATCACCCAGCGGGTAAAGCTGGTACAGGCTGCCATCCAGAGGTCACAACAGGTACTGCAATGTGACAATATCAAAGGAAAGTTTATTGGTCGCGTACACCATTAGTACTTCATTGAGTACTGGCTGCTGAGTCCATTCAGTGATCGTATATATTTACAGTGCATGATGGTGTTGATAGTTAAAGGTAGGCCTAATTGTATAAGTTCAGGATTTGAATAGTTTTTATTTTCAGGTCTTCATTCTCTCTATCTTTGTCTGTATGATGTGTAGAAGTAATTCATGAGGTTTCTGCTCTCGTTGTCAATAAGAGGATGATGCTAATGTTGTAGCATTTCCCTCTGGTCTTCTCTTAGCATGAGGAGGCTCTGTGTAATGCTAACCAGCTAACGCTATTGTAAATGCTAATAACATATCATCCTCTCAGTCAGTATGGGGAGGCTGAGTGTGCCATGCTAACTGTGTCTATCTCTCTGTGCCTCAGTATGAGGAGGCGGTGGACGCGGAGCTGACCTGGACTGGGGAGACTGAGAGGAAGTTATCCTCCCTAGGTCCTCTGAGTCTGGAGCCTGACGTCACCGTGGCCCAGCTACAGGTCCAGAGGGCCTTCAATATCGACATCATCCGACACAAAGACACAGTGGACCAGCTACTCAACACCAGGGACGACATCCTGGAGACCTGCAGCGACCAGCAGAGAGATGCTCTGGTGGTGAGAAGAGAGGGACGAATAGGAAGGGGAGAGTGTTTGGGGAGAGCGAAAGAGGGCAGAGAAATGCAGGGAGTCAGAGAGAAGGGTGAAAGGCTTCCAAACACCCCAAGAGGACTTTTGTAACATATAAGCAATGACCAATTTTAAGAAAAGTTAATTCACAGGAAAATCTAATGACATGATAGACGTATTATTAAATATTATAAACAAGGAGGGAAATATTGTGTTTTGGCCTCGAAATACAAATATGCAAATTATCTTGTATTTTGTGCTTGAAGTAAAACGGCACAACAGTAGTAGACAAAATGGGAAATATTCCAGTGATTTTTGCCGAGTTACCAAATGTGAACCATTCTAACCGCTTTTCCTCTGCTCTCTCTCCTCAGGAGAAGACTGACTCACTGTCTGCCCGCTACGAGGCGGTGAGCCAGCAGCACCAGGAGCGTTTCTCAGCCCTGGAGCAGGCCCAGGTCCTGGTGGCCCGTTTCTGGGAGACCCAGGAGGACTTGGAGCCCTGGCTGGGGGAGACGGAGACCCTTATCGCCCAGCTGCCCCCACCCGCCATCGACACCGAGGCCCTGCGTCTACAACAGGAACAGATGAGGGTGAGGAGGGAGCGTTGGAAGGAGGCAGAAGGGGGAGGGAGTGGGATGGGAGTAGGCTCTAATGACTGTATTTGAACTAATATCCTTGTGAAAAGATGTATCATGTCGAAGGAGTTCCAGCACTTCTACTTTTTATAATTTGCCTTTTTTCATTTCTCCCTCTCTTTCTGTGTGGTACTCTAACTCTACCACTCTCTCAATCACACTATCCATCTTCCTCCTTCCTTATTCTCCACTCTTTCTGCCTCTCCTTTCTTTCTTTCTCCCTCCCTCCATCCCTCCTCCAGCTTCTGAGGGAGTCCATATCAGAGCACAAGCCCCACATCGACAAGCTGCTGAAGATCGGCCCCCAGCTGGCTGCTCTGAGTCACCAGGAGGGGGCCACGGTGAGGCAGCGCTACAGCGACGCCGAGAAACGCTACGTGGCCATCAAGGAGGTGGTCAAGGGTCGCGCCACCACCCTGGATGAGGCCGTGTCTCAGTCTGCACAGGTATGGTTTCGTAAAGTGAATTTGAAATTAGATTGTAGCTTGAAAGGGTGTAAATTGCCGAAGCTTGTGTCTGCCGATTGATGCCCCAATACAACCGAACTATGGCATCCATATGAGGAAATCTGATGACTTCCTTATATGGATGCCGTAAGCCTTGTTGTATACATATTTGGAAGTCATCAGATTTCCTCATATGGATGCCATGCGTACAAGCTAGCTGCTAATGGCATTATGAGATCAATGTACACTTATACTCCTCTTCCACAACAGAGTGGTGTGGTATTAGGCATTGGCTGTAGTGTAGTTGTATTTCTGGGACCAATGCTCAAACTATAGTATGATGGTGTACTGGACTCTTTACTTGGAGCTGTGTTTTGGCTCTTTTTGCTAATTTCCATAAAAGGAATGGAAGAGAGAACTTATTCTTGCGCTCCAAGAAATGTTGCAATGATCTTCGAAAGTCTTGGTCATAATATGATGGTAGTGGTAGTAATAGTAGCTATTTGCTAAACTACACAGCTTCTTGCTACGCTTGTAGTAAAGAAATGGTTACATACAACTCGCTTTTCCCATTTCTATTTCCATAAGTAACATTCACATTTTATTTCAATAGTTCTCTTGTCAAATGCTCTCTCATAGCACCTAATTGAATAAATCATGAGCCACCATTGATTATCACGGAGCGCGAAGCTGATTGTTGCTGCTGTTGGTATTGCTTGGCCAGAGTGTGTGCATGTCACTGATCTAACACAATGTATTGTGTCTCCACCTCCCATCCCATCCCTAATGGACCATATCACCCACTTATCTTTATGCATCCTTCTCTCTCTCTTTTCATCCCTCCTAAACCACCAACCTCCATACCTCTCTACCCCCCCCCCCCTCTAAATTCCCAACCCTCCCTTGTGCCTTACATTTCCCCCTCTCCTTGCACTCCTCAATCCCTCCATCCTTCCATCCCTCCCTCCCTGGTTTGCTCCATCCCTCCACCCCACCTCTAACTCATTGTGGATGTGCTGTATGTGTTGACCCACCATTTCCTCCATCCGTCGTCACTTCTCACTGCAATCACCCAGCTGGTAGAGGTAAGACCACTGACTGACCTGTACTGACGCCAACCGACCACAACGTGACTTAGTAACCATAGTACTGACCCAGATGTACTGACACAACTTACAGAAATGGATTTGTTAGTTATTAGAATTCCTTCCTGCGTGAACCTTGTCTAGGCTTAGACAACCCTCTATAACTCCTAAGAATACTTTGTCCAATGCCTCTCCTCTTTCCCAATTAGTGTGTTTTGATATGTATGGCAATTGGCAACTCTAGGTTTGCCCTCCTCTCTGTTCCAGTCCATGTTACACATTTTGACATTGCTCAAATGCAGTTATTTAACAAAAATGTCCATATAACCTTTATCAACAACCACTTAGTGAGGCTGTGGTAATAATGTGTGCTGATTGAAAGTTGGGCGCAGTATTCCTAATTAAGTCAACTTTATTAATGTATAGTAAATACATCTATAGTACTCCCACATCACATGCCTGTCCAAGTATCCAAAATTACATGGTATTTTTTAGTAAGATCTCTGCATTTTCGCACCATCAAAATGTCACCCCTCCCCTCAGAATACATATGAAAGTATGTATAATAATACGAAAAAATCTTTAACGTCTCTGCATGGTCAATCCGACGTCTGCAGTGGCCATACAGCATTTGCTGCAATACGGCCTCTGTAGAAGTCAGGGCATTCATAATTATTGCGCTTCGCAGAGAAGAGCAGAGCTGTTGTGAAGGAAGTTGTCAAAGAAGTGAGTTTGTGTTCATACAGGACCTCCCGCCCCCACCTACCGTCAACCAATCATGTCAATGCGGAGCTATACGGAGCCCTCCACATTGTTACAAAAATTGGGAGGCACACGGCATTGCCGTACGGCGCTCGATTTGGCCTCCGCAAGCCTCCGGAGGCTCCGCAATTGCGTCACACCCTCCATACGGAGCCTCCGGACAGCATTGGCGGATCAAGCATAAATCATCGATTAGTCACATTACATTTACATTTTACATTTTACATTACCCACCTCCTCTTCTTAACCCTTTCTCTCCACCCCCTCCCTCTTCCCCTCCCAGTTCCACGACAGGATGGACCCCCTGTTGGAGACCCTGGAAGGGGCTGTGCAGCGCCTCCGATCCCCTCCTCCCGTGGCGGCGGAGGTGGATAAGATCCGGGAGCAGCTAGCTGATCATAAGGCAACAGGGCTGGAGCTGGACAAATTGCTGCCCTCCTTCTCTGCCCTGTGTGCCCGCGGCGAGGAGCTCATCAGTCGAGCAGCCCACGACGACCCTGCTGCTCAGGGTGAGTGCCTGAAACACACACAGAGATACACTTACATATATACTGTGTACAAACAAACACACACATATCACATACGTCACCCAGGGATACACTCATACACAAGAGACAGTGATTCATAAGGGTGGCAGGTACCTTAGCGTTTAAGAGCATTGGGCCAGTAACCGGAAGGTCGCTGGTTCAAAACCCAAAGCCGAGTAGGTGGAAATCTGTTGTTGTGCCCTTGAGCAAGGCACTTAACCTTAATTGCTCCTGTAAGTCACTCTGGATAAGAGCGTCTGCTAAATTACTCAATATGAGGAGAGTGACTAAAACGTCAATTTCTCAGTACGTCACTTCATAAATATGAATGAGTGCTCTGTGCAGTGGTAGTGGGAGTGTAGCCTACTCACTCTCTAAAATACCACTGTTGAGAGCTAGTCACTAGATGGCCATGCTAGAAGGGACAAAAGCAGCAATAACATCAGAAATTATAAGCAAGTACATGAGCTATTAGTTGTAATGTTATGGTTAGGTTCAGGGCTAAAATAATGAATAATTACTTGTCTTTACATACAATTCCTCCATCCATTTTCACATACACGACCGTTCAAAAGTTTGGGGTCACTTAGAAATGTCCTTGTTTTCGAAAGAAAAGCAATTTTTTTCTTTGCAACTCTGCCTAGAAGGTCAGCATCCCGGAGTCGCCTCTTCACTGTTGACATTAAGACTGGTGTTTTGCAGGTACTATTTAATGAAGCTGCCAGTTGAGGACCTGTGAGGCGTTTGTTTCTCAAACTAGTATGTGTCCTCTTGCTCAGTTGTGCACTGGGGCCTCCCACTCCTCTTTCTATTCTGGTTAGAGCCAGTTTGCGCTGTTCTGTGAAGGGAGTAGTACACAGCATTGTACGAGTTCTTCACTTTCTTGGCAATTTCTCGCATGGAATAGCCTTCATTTCTCAGAACAAGAATAGACTGATGGGTTTCAGAAGAAAGTTATTTGTTTCTGGCCATTTTGATCCTGTAATCGAACCCACAATTGCTGATGCTCCAGATTTATTTCTTCTTTAATCAGCACAACAGTTTTCAGCTGTGCTAACATAATTGCAAAATAGTTTTCTAATGATCAATTAGTCTTTTAAATTGATAAACTTGGATTAGCAAACACAACATGCCATTGGAACACAGGACTGATGGTTGCTGATAATGGACCTCTGTACGCCTATGTAGATATTCCATTAAAAATCAGCTGTTTCCAGCTACAATAGCCATTTACAACATTAACAATGTCTACACTGTATTTCTGATCAATTTGATGTTCTTTTAATGGACAAAAAAATTGAATTTCTTTCGAAAACAAGGACATTTCTAAGTGACCCCAAACTTTTGAACGGTAGTATAGCTAATCGCAAATAGTGACTCTGTCCTTTCAAGCATGGACAAATAACACCACGCTTTCAGATTCATTCCCAACTCTCTCACCCCCCTCTTTCCCCATCCCAGCCGTGCATTCCCGTCTCCTGCGCCTGCGCTCCCTGTGGGATGAAATCCGGCAGAGGGCTGAGGAGCGGGAGGGGAAGCTGACAGACGTCTTGGACCTGGCTGGGAAGTTCTGGGCCGACATGGCGGCACTACTGAGCACGCTCCGTGACTCGCAGGACATCGTCAAGGAGCTGGAGGACCCCGGGGTGGACCCCTCCCTCATCAAACAGCAGATAGAGGCTGCAGAGGTACGTATGGAGAAGGGGATGGAGGGTTGCTGAGAGAGGGGGGGTAAGAAAAGGAGAGGATATGAAGGAGTGGTGAAGATGAAGAGGATAAATGTCAAGGAATGGTGCCAGCATGTTGGTAGCTATGTAACAGCCTTTACACCTTCTGTTTGAAACGTGCAATGTATTTACTGTAGCAGTGGTGTAAAGTAACTAAGTAAAAATACTTTGAAGTACTACTTATGTATTTTTGGGGGTATCTGTACTTTACTTTACTATTTAGACTACCAGTCAAACGTTTGGACACACTTACTCATTCAAGGGTTTTTCTTTATTAAATTTTTTTTTGACATTGTAGAATAATAGTGAAGACATCATAACTATGAAATAACATGTAGTAACCAAAAAAAGTGTTAAACAAATAAAGATATATTTAATATTTGAGATTCTTCAAAGTAGCCACCCTTTGCCTTGATGACAGCTTTGCACACTCCTGGCATTCTCTCAACCAGCTTCACCTGGAATGCTTTTCCAACAGTCTTGAAGGAGTTCCCACATATGCTGAGCACTTGTTGGCTGCTTTTCCTTCACTCTACCGTCCGACTCATCCCAAACCATCTCAATTGGGTTGAGGTCGGGGGATTGTGGAGGCCAGGTCATCTGATGCAGCACTCCGTCACTCTCCTTCTTGGTAAAATAGCCCTTACACAGCCTTGGAGGTGTGTTGGGACATTGTCCTGTTGAAAAACAAATGAAAGTCCCACTAAGCCCAAACCAGATGGGGTGGTGTATCGCTGCAGAATGCTGTGGTAGCCATGCTGGTTAAGTGTGCCTTGAATTCTAAATAAATCACAGACGACAGTGTCACCAGCAAAGCACCATAACACCACCTCCTCCATGCTTTACAGTGGGAACTACACATGCAGAGATAATTTGTTCACCCACACCGCCTCACAAAGACACGGCGGTTTGAACCAAAAATCTCTTGCAGCAATTCGACCATGAAAGCCTGATTCACACAGTCCCCTATGAACAGTTGATGTTGAGATGTGTCTGTTACTTGAACTATGTGAAGCATTTATTTGGGCTGCATTTTCTGATGCTGATAACTCTAATGAATTTATCCTCTGCAGCAGAGGTAACTCTGGGTCTTCCTTTCCTGTGGCGGTCCTCATGAGAGCCAGTTTCATCATAGTGCTTGATGGTTTTTGCGACTGCACTTGAAGAAACTTTCAAAGTTCTTGAAATGTTCCGTATTGACTGACCTTCATGTCTTAAAGTAATGATGGACTGTCGTTTCTCTTTGCTTATTTGAGCTGTTCTTGCTATAATATGGACTTGGTCTTTACCAAATAGGGCTATCTTCTGTATACACCCCCTACCTTGTCACAACACTACTGATTGGCTCAAACGCATTAAGAAGGAAAGAAATTCCACAAATTAACTTTTAAGAAGGCACACCTGTTAATTTAAATGCATACCATGAAGCTGGATGAGAGAATGCCAAGAGTGTGCAAAGCTGTCATCAAGGCAAAGGGTGGCTACTTTGAAGAATCTCAAATATAAAATATACTTTTGATTTGTTTAACACTTTTTTGGTTACTACATGATTCCATGTGTTATTTCATAGTTTTGTTGTCTTCACTATTATTCTACAATGTAAAAATAAATAAAAACCCTTGAATGAGTAGGTGTGTCCAAACTTTTGACTGGTAGTGTATATTTTAGACAACTTTTACTCCACTACATTCCTAAAGAAAATATGTACTTTTAACAATTGATACTTCTGATATTTTCCCATACTGTACATTTCCCCTGACACCCAAAAGTACTCTTACGAATGCTTAGCAGGACAGGAAAATTGTCCAATTCACACACTTATCAAGGGAACACGTGGTCATTCCTACTGCCTCTGATCTGGTGGATCATCGATAACAAAATCTGAAAATACAGATACATTCCGTAACATATAATAAGAATATTCATTGACATTTTGGAGTAGGTGCAAGATAAGAAAAAATGATTACAAAGGTTTGAGAGGTCTAACTGGTGTCTCCGAGTTGTCACACACCTCTCCGAACTGTGCACAGTTCCTAAGTAATTTCAGTGCACTTTTATGACTCAAGGAAATAGCTTTTTTGAGTTCTCCTAGCTGTGCCATTGAGGAACTGAAGCAAGCACACTTGTAGTTTTTGTTTGGAACATAGCCCTGCGTCCCCACCATCACACAATGACTGTTTATGCAATCCAAAAACATTCAATAAAAAATCACAATCTGGGTCAGGTGGGCATCATTTGAAAGCTTATTCTATTGCCAACATGGCTAGCTAAGTTAGAATATGATCTTACACTGTTAGGCTTTCAAAAGGCATGTCAGACAAACAGATTTTAATTGTGGTGCGCATAGAATGGAGTCATGAGTGCATTCGAGTGAGTGTTCCGTGGCTAATTTTCTTCACGATACGACAGACATAGGCTCATTCTGTACAGGACAACCCAGGGTATGACGCATGTCATCCTTGTAACTGTGGATCAAACATAGCGATCATAAACATTGACACTGTAAATGACATGAGTTTTCAAATATGTAAATGTGAAGTGCACATTTGGACTCATGGGTGTGTGTGGTTTGCTTGTTTATTGGATCCCCATTAGCTTTTGCAGACGCATCAGCTACTCTTTCTGGGGACATGAGTATGACATCAAAGTGGTATTTGTTATAACGTCTCATCTTTCAGAACACATCGACTCCTCTCAATTCACAGCAGTTCCCTCACTCCGATAACAACAAATGTGCAGAAGTAGCCCAATTAGAGGGAGCATCATCTTGTCGCACGCGGTGCACAAGTTTATAACGGCTGTCAGTCAAAACTGTGAGGCGGAGAACGTCATGTATAGCATGTTACTGTACAGCCACTGCATTTCAATTTAGGAGCTTATAAATGACAAAGATCTGTCAATTTCAATACTGGATGACAGGGGCTGCGAGTGGAAAGGGCTACGTATATTTAAAACCAGATACCTTTAGACTTTTACTCAAGTAGTATTTTACTGGGTGACTTTTACTTGAATCATTTTCGATTTTTACTTTTACTCAAGTATGACAAGTGGGTACTTTTTCCACCACTGTACTGTAGTTAGCTCAGAGGTAGGAAAGGGAGAGAATATGCAGGTAGTTACTGATAAGTGTGATGACTTTTGGGTTATCTGATCTGTCCATCTATGTTTGTCTGTGTCTGCCTGCCTGTCTGTCTCTCTCACTCTCTCTCTCTCTCTCACTCGCTCTCTCTCGCTCTCACTCACTCTCTCTCACTCACTCATCAGGCCATCAAGGCCGAGACAGACGGACTGAGGGAGGAGCTGGAGTTTGTACGAACCCTTGGGGCTGACCTCATCTTCGCCTGCGGAGAAACAGAGAAACCTGAGGTCAAGAAGACCATCGACGAGGTAGGAGGTGTACAGGATGACAACCAACTTCAAGACAGGATCAAACAAATCAAGAACATTAATGGACTCATTGCATTATATTTTTTGTGTCTCGATTTTCTGTTTGTCTTTTTATTGCAGTACAGTATATGTTTTATCTTTCCTCTCTTCTTTCTTCTCTCTATCCGTTTCTCAGATGAATGCCGCCTGGGAAGGCCTGAACCGGACGTGGAGAGAGAGGATGGAGAGGTTGGAGGAGGCCATGACGGCTTCTGTGCAGTACCAGGATGCATTGCAGGTCAGTGTCCCAGAATGCATCACTCTTTCAGCTCAGTGTGTCAGATAATTAAATAATCTGGTATTTATTGCACTAGTTCTTTAGGAAAGTAGATGCTTAGAGGAAATGTAAATCTGTCATGAAGTAGAGGCAGCTATAAGTATCAGAACCTCGATCGTCATTATAGTTTTCAGAAGTTAGATTGACTCGTGTGTGTGTGTGTGTGTGTGTGTGTGTGTGTGTGTGTGTGTGTTGCAGAGCATGTTTGACTACCTGGACAACGCAGTGATAAAGCTGTGTGATATGTCCACTGTGGGCACTGATCTGGGAACTGTCAAACAGCAGATCGAAGAACTCAAGGTTTGAATCATAATCGACTTTTGTCATGTAGCTTTGATATAAATAGTATACTTAATATTTTCCTATATGTTTTTATCATCCTCCAAATATTTATAATATTTATTGTACTTAAAAAACGGTTTTGACGAAAAGATAACATTCTCGGTAAGTCAAAAATACGCTCTTGGTCAAAAAAGTTAACGATCACTTTAATGATAAGCAAATTGCTAGTGCAGGCCTGACTCCTCTCTCCTCTCCTCCCCTCTGAGAAGCAGTACAAGGTGGAGGTGTACCAGCAGCAGATAGACATGGAGAAGCTGTGCCACCAGGGGGAGCTGCTGCTCAAGAAGGTCTCGGACCAGACCGACAGAGACATGATCCAGGAGCCCCTTACGGAGCTCCGACACCTCTGGGACAACCTGGGGGACAAGATCACGCACAGACAGGTACACAGACTATGCATTGACCTGTTGTACCCAGTGACTCCCTAACTATTGGACAGTAGCTACAGTAGCACTGCTGCCCTCTCTAAAAGAACGCCTTCAGACCTCCGGTCCTCTGGAACTCAAACTCACTGTCGGCTAATAGCGCTACATTGTTGTAGGGAACCCAATATTTGCCAAATCAAGTTTGTCAGTTACACACATAGAAATATGGATTATCTTTCTATGGTTACACATGCATAATAGATTCTACCATTAAAAGTTGTGGTAATTAAATTAAAATGAATTGATACTTCAGATATGTACAATAGATTACAGATTGCAATACAATGCAATACAATGCTACATGATTACTGAATAACCGCTATTTTCCCTATGCTGTTTCCTACAGCATAAGGTGGAGGGTGCTCTCCTGGCACTGGGTCAGTTCCAGCATGCCTTGTCTGAGCTGCAGTCCTGGCTGAGTCACACCCATGCCACCCTGGACACACAGAGACCCATCAACTCTGACCCCAAGGCCATCGAGATAGAACTGGCCAAGCACCACGTACGTCTACCTCTCTACATCTATTCCTCCCACACTCTTACCTATCAACTCTCCATTTCTTCTTTACTCTTTAAGTTCTAGACTCTTAACGGCCAGTTTCCCGAGACCCATATTAAGCCAATCCTGTACTAAAAAGCACTTTCAATGGAGATTCTCCATCAGGAAAACGGCCTTATTAGTCTACCTCTACCTCTCTCATCTCTCCTCAATCTCCCCTCCATATCAGCCTCACTTCTGTTATTTTCCCTTATAGATTATGCATGGCAGCCATTTTGTGCCAGAATGCTTGCTTCACATCAGTTATTGCATTGGAGAAGTGTAACCAACACACCCTCCCTCCATCTCTCCCTCTCTCTCTTTCAGGTGCTGAGGAATGACGTGCTGTCCCATCGGTCCACGGTGGAGACGGTGAACGCGGCGGGGGCTGAGCTGCTGGAGTCCAGTCCCGGGGACGAGGCCAACCACCTCCGCGGCCAGCTGGACCACCTCAACCGCGGCTGGGAGAACCTGCTACTCAAGACCCAGGACCGACAGAAACTACTGGAGGCCGCACTACACCAGGTAAGAATAATACAGGAGGACTGGGCTGAGAAGAGTTACAGTATAAGTACTGTTTAACTGAACTGAACTAAGCGAAAAGAAAGAATGAAACCATTTCTATCCATTTCATCTTACCCCTCCCTGTAATTATATTTCTATATTAGGGGTTTCCAACTTGTACAAATAAGATTATCAAGTCGCCCTAGCAAAATGTGTTATTTCCCAGTTAAGTAATGGTTTAAGTACTGTACTTAATCTTAACTAAGCTAAAATCACAGGGCTAATGAATGAACCACACAGTAGCACTGCCATTAACACACAACTCATGACTTCCTCTCTTGTTTCCGCTCTCCTCTTCCCCTCCTCCTTGTCCCTCGTTCCCCAGGCGGAGGGTTTCCATGGTGAGCTGGAGGAGTTCCTGCAGTGGCTGAGGAGGACAGAGAGCCAGCTGTCTGCAGCCAAACCCACAGGTGGCCTGCCTGAGACCGCCCGGGAGCAGCTGCAGCAGCACCTGGTAATACTGGGGATACATTTTATAATACTGCAGCCTGCCCATACATACACGAGATATGATGTGATGGAGAAAACACATGCACCCACTAAATATGATGGATAATACTCATTCACTGTACAATCTACTATCTAATCTGTAAACATATTGTTTTTAACCATGTGTAACGGGTGTGTTATACATGCACAATACATAACCTATGTAGTTTAACACCTGTTGTTATTGGGTGGATCCTCAAAGTATCAAACTCCTCATTCCAAACCATGGCCACATATGTTTACCATTCATTATGGAGGTTATTCATTGTTCATCCATTCAACCCTTTGAAAACATCTGTGTGTGTGTCTATAGGAGCTCCAGACCCAGTTGGCCCAGCGCGCTGAGCAGTACAACCGGCTGCTGGACGCGGGAGAGTCCATGTTGCTTTCCCGCGGGGGGGAGGAGGGTGGCCCCGGAGCTGGTACGACCCAGACCCAACAGAACCTGGCCCTGCTGCAGAACAAGTGGGCCAGCCTGAACACCAAGATGGACGACCGCAGGGTAAGAGAGGAACCTTCTGTTTAGATGCATGAATGAAGGGCTTACTTCTTTAAAAACCCTGACGGAGGCCAAAAGCTGAAACACCTCGGTGTTTACTTGAAACAATAAAGAAGCTTGCTATTTACTTCCATTGTTCTCCAAAGGATGCTGAATCTTCTCTCTAAGAGCTCCTTCAGAAAATGTAATGGTTGCTGAGCTTAGAGCTGAATGCTAACTTGAGAAACAAGTACCTAACGCAAAGTCGTGCATATTTAATTTGTATATGTATACGAATAGCTGCACTCATGTATTTCTTAGGTAGGTTTTAGACTCAAACCTACCTAAGAAATACATGAGTGCAGCTATTCGTATACATATACAAATTAAATATGCACGACTTTGCGTTAGGTACTTGTTTCTCAAACTAATACAATATAGATTTTCACAGATAGACTATAAAAAACACTGTTTTACATAGGAGCTGTATCTATAAGTTACCTTCAAACCTTTCACTGACCATTTTGCTCCCCCTCCACTCCCCACCGTAGGCGAAGCTAGACGAGGCGGTGTCGCTGGCCACAGGGTTCCAGTCCTCCCTCCAGGACACCATCAACTGGCTGACCCAGGCAGAGCAGACCCTCAACATGGCCCAGCCCCCCTCCCTCATCCTGGACACTGTCCTCTTTCAGATAGATGAACACAAGGTAGGGGCAGTTTAGGCACCATGGAAGTATAGAGATCCTATGTTATACGTGATTGACATTAATTTCTATGGTAGGTGGGGTTATACTGGTGAGAAGTTACAATGGAATGGAATGTGATAGAATATACTTGACTGTATTTTACATAAATATATTCAAATGTAATATTGCAGTTTATCATGCAATAATATGTAAGTGAATGATGAGTTGACTTATCATATTCATCAGACATTTTGCAGACTTAATACATTTCCCTTACTCCCACCCCTCCTTTTTGTTAGCTGATCTGCATGTGCATATACGGCTGAAATCATGGTACCCAGAACCAAATCAGCGAATCAATTTTATGTTAAGGCTGTCATGAGGGACTAATACAATTGTAAAACGCTCTCTGTCTATCTCTGTTCACCCCAGGTGTTTGTGAATGAGGTGAACACCCACAGGGAGCAGGTGCTGGCCCTGGAGAAGGCTGGCTCTCAGCTGCGTTTCGCCAGTCTGAAGCAGGATGTGGTTCTGATCAAGAACCTGCTGCTGAGTGTACAGGCCCGCTGGGACAAGCTGGTGCAGAGGTCCCTGGACCGCGGCAGACACCTCGACGAGGCCCGCAAGAGGGCCAAGCAGGTACCCTACTAGTACTGACCCCGGGGTGGTAACTCGCCCTAACCAATATGCAGCACCTGAATGGATGATATATGGCAGCCATTTTGTACCAGAATGCACACACATCAATAAGAGATGATACACCAGTTTCTCTTGACCTCCCTCTAGTTCCATGAGGCGTGGAGGAAACTGTCTGACTGGCTGGAGGAGGCTGAGAGCCGGCTAGACTCAGAGCTGGAGATCTCCAACGAGCCAGACAAGATCAAAGTACATCTGACCAAACACAAGGTACAGTAGGAGTCTCACTTTAAAGCTCACTGTATGGGTCTTGCATGGAAATAATAGGGTTCTGAGTGATACCCACACACAACATATGATTAGGCTGCACAATGTAGATCCTCTGTGCTTTTGTGAGATTTTTCACTTACCTGTACGACATGCTATCCTTAACTAAATACCCCTCTCTCTGTCTCCCTCCTCCCGCCCAAAGGAGTTTCAGAAGGCTCTGGGCTCTAAGCAGCCGGTGTATGACACCACAGTGAGGTCTGGTAAAGCCATGAGGGACAAGGCCACGCTGCCCGAAGACACCCAGAAACTAGACCACCTACTGGGGGAGGTCAGGGACAAATGGGACACCGTTTGTGGGAAGAGTGTGGAGAGGTGAGGGGAAAACTTGACGCCAAATGCTTTATTAGTATGACTATTATGGTAGGGTTCTCCAACTCCAGTCCTGGAGAGCGACTGATTGTACAGGTTTCTGTTCCATCTGCCCAGCACTAAGTAACGCACCTGATTCAGCTAATTCTGGTCCTGATTGAACCCCACAATTATTGATTGGTTATTTGAAACAAGCGTGTTAAAGCAGGTCTGGAACAAAAGCCTGCAAACCCAGTAGCTCTCCAGGATGCTGACATATAGAATACTGGATCATAAAAGCAAAGTTCATATAACGATAGCTACAATTTCAATGTAATGTGACAGCTGACTTTTTCCTTCTCCATCTCTCATCCAGGCAACACAAGCTGGAGGAGGCCCTGCTGTTCTCAGGTCAGTTTGCTGAGGCCCTGCAGGCCCTGGTGGACTGGCTGTACCGTGTAGAACCCCAGCTGGCTGAAGATTTGCCTGTCCATGGAGACCTGGACCTGGTCTCCAACCTCATGGACTCTCACAAGGTATTTATTTATTTATGTAACAGCAAATGTTAGACTATTGGTTACCATCGGTTATGAAAAAATATTAAATAATCCATGTGAATTCTTATTTATCAAACATCATGTTTGACCCATTTTTCCTATTGGGGACTAATTGAATATATATTCATTCATATTTCACCCCTGTGCCCTATGTTTAGGGTTAACACTATTTCCATGTTGTTTGACCACTGTTGGGTTATGTCTCCTCAGGCCTTCCAAAAGGAGTTGGGGAAGAGGACCACTAGTGTCCACGCCCTGAAGCGCTCAGCCAGAGAACTGATGGAGACGGGCCGCGACGACACCGCCTGGGTCAAAGTTCAACTGCAAGAGCTCAGCAACCGCTGGGACACAGTCTGTGCCCTGTCCGTCACCAAGCAGACCCGCCTCCAGCAGGCCCTCAAACAGGTCAGTTGGGAAGAAGCCGCCAAGTGGTTATGCCATCTTTATTGTTTTTATGTATTAATACAATACTTCAAAGATACAAAAAATCATGAATTTGATGATAATTTAATGTAAAGATACAGATAATTTCAGTTAATCTTCTTTTCCTTCATTAATGCTATCTGTGCAAGCACAGTACAGTGTATAAGACCTTAAACTTAGCAAAAGCTAGATAAAACTGAAAACCCTTTTCTCTATCCTTCTAATGATCCCTCCCTCTTTCATCCCTCTCTCTCAGGCGGAGGAGTTCCGCACGGCGGTGCAGCTGCTTCTGGAATGGCTGTCAGAGGCAGAGCAGACGCTGCGTTTCCGTGGGGTGCTGCCCGAGGAGGCGGAGACTCTGCAGACGCTGCTCCACACCCACCGGAACTTCATGGCCACGGTGGAGGAGAAGAGGACAGACGTGAACCAGGCAGCGGGCCAGGGCGAGGCCATCCTCACCGCGTGCCACGCCGACTGTATCACCACCATCAAACACTGGATTACCATCATCCGAGCCCGCTTCGAAGAGGTAGGTTGGCTGGAGAGGGAATGGGAGAGAGAGAGTGGGATGAATAGAGAGATAAGAGAGGGGGTAAAGATTTTAAAGCCCTGTTGGGCCAGATAGTCATTTCAAGTATTTCACCCATTAATTGGTGCATTTTGCTTCTATAGGTCCTCACATGGGCCAAACAGCACGAGCAGCGTCTGGAGACGGCTCTGACAGAGCTACTCAACAACGCCACTCTATTGGAGGAGTTGTTGTCATGGCTGCAGTGGGCGGAGACCACCCTAGTCCAGCGTGATGGAGAGACTCTTCCACAGGACATCCCTCAGCTCAAAACACTCATCACAGAACACCAGGTGGGAGGAGCCTACCTTTCTCAAACCCTCATTGGCTAAGTTGCTATTATAATTGTTATCACCCTTTCTGATTGGCTGTCTAATGTCAATCCATTGTTCCCAGGTGTTTATGGAGGAGATGACCCGGAAACAGCCTGACGTGGACAAAGTGACCAAGACTTACAAGAGGAAACCAGCAGAGCCCCCTAGCAGCCTAGCTGAGAGGAGAGGAGCTCGTACGTTACCTTATTTTACCTCACAGAGATGCATTTATATTATGTTAAACTAAATGCATATGTACCTAGAAATGCATAAGCGAAGATATACAGTGGGTGCCTGTCCCCCAAACATTCACAGTCCATCCTGACTGACTTCACTGAAGGAGAAAGACAATAGAAGTCACCTAAATATGATCAAACATTCCATCGAGTGTCATCAACATAAACCCATATAATGCACAGTAACCATGACACCTCTCCCTCCTCTCCCTACAGGTAAAAACCAGCAGCAACAACAGCATCAACAACAGGCGGCGATGCAGATCGCCGGGGGCAACCCCCGCCTGACCCAGCTATGCTCAAGGTGGCAGCAGGTGTGGCTGCTTGCCCTTGACCGCCAACGCAAGCTCAACGACGCCCTCGACAGGCTTGAAGAGGTACTTTATTGTAACAACTTGATATTCCCTATTCGGGCAGTAGCGGGCTTGGAGACCCGAGTTTGAGACCTGCATCTCTGTCATGTTCGCTACATTGGTTTCAGAAGTGGGATGTCTGTATGTTTGCAGAGGGTGTCCTATATAGTGTCTTGTCAAAACAGACACAGGATTTCCTCAGTGTATTGCTCTTCCTCATTTATCTCACATTATCTTCATTGTCTTTGTCCCCAGCTGAAAGAGTTTGCCAACTTCGACTTTGACGTGTGGAGGAAGAAGTACATGCGCTGGATGAACCACAAGAAGTCTCGCGTCATGGACTTCTTCAGGCGCATCGACAAGGACCAGGACGGCAAGATCACTCGCCAGGAGTTCATCGACGGCATCCTGGCCTCAAGTATGCTCTTGAGAGCTAGCTAGACATCGTTAGCTCTGTTCTTTGCCCATAGCCTGCTCCAACTTAAACTCTAGTCAAGTCCAATATCTTTCTGATAAGTGCTATATCTTGGTCATCATCTTTTTCTAACTGTTTGTTGTGCTGTGCAGAGTTCCCCACCAGCAGGTTGGAGATGACGGCGGTGGCAGACATCTTTGACCAGGACGGAGACGGTTACATCGACTACTACGAGTTTGTGGCGGCGCTGCACCCTAACAAGGACGCCTACCGGCCCACCACCGACGCTGACAAGATAGAAGATGAGGTGAGGAAGACACACACACACACACACACACACACACACACACACACACACACACACACACACACACACACACACACACATACCCACATATCATAAACAACACACACACACACATACCCACATATCATAAACGACACACACACACATACACACACACACAGATATACCCACATATCATAAACGACACACACACACACACGCACACTTATTTTGAATAACAAAGCTGGACATTTGACTTGCCTAGTCCAATAGCAGCTCATGAATTGGAGGTTAATGGAGCCAGCCTTGTGACTTTGTCTCTCTTTCTCCCTTCTTTTTCTGTGCAGGTGACCAGACAGGTGGCACAGTGTAAATGTACCAAGAGGTTCCAGGTGGAGCAGATAGGAGAGAACAAGTACAGAGTAAGTCCTCCTCAGCCAGTGACTGGATACATTTACCAACAGTTAATAAACACATTATTATATATTCTGTCTGCATGTTATGAGTTAGTATTAGGTATGAGATATTGTATTTTTAAATGCAGATGGGCCAGAGCAATTACAAGGTGAGTTACACCTGAGTCTACAGTGCTGTGGACGTTAAAAAATATATAATCTTAAAAGCTTTTTTTGCTTGGACAGCTTCTACTTAGCTAAATACAGTTTTCAGATGCTACTTGATGGAGTGAATCTTGGTAATGTTAAGAATAATGTGTATTTTTGAAGTTGTTGCATTTGCAGTCATGGTGGGTCTAGGGCTGCGTCTGAAATGGCACCCTAGTCCTTATATTGTGCACTACTTTTGACCATAGTTCACTACCTTTGACCAGGGCCCTGAACAGAAGTAGTGCACTATATAGAGAATAGGTTGTCATTTCAGACACAGCCTAGTTTTTGTTAACTGATGCTGGCTGTGTGTCACTACTTCTTTGAGCACCAATAACTGCTGTTGTTGAACTAACGAATGACATCACTCCATTTCTCACGTATTTAAATGTTAGCCAATAGCAGTAGCACTCATCTGTATCCATGGAAATGCCAGCTTTGTAAGCAAGCTTCAATAAGCTTTGCCATATACTCATTAAAGAAGGTGGTCACATATTATTGATAATTACTAAGAAATCCGCGGGCCAAAAAAGAGCGTCTCACAGGCCGCATCTGGCCCGCGGACCGTATGTTATGCACCCCGAAGCTCTTCAACATATCATATCTCTGGATACATATCTCTGATCACAGCACTACGGGATTGATATGCTGTGTGTGCTTCCCACCAACAAACTAATATAACCATAATATAACATAAATATAATTTATAAACCATAACATTTATCACAGCTTCAGGATTAGCAACTACTACCATCGCTGTTTTTTTTGTGAACTACATCATCATTATCCATGGGTTAATGATATCCAGTGTCTGGCCAAAGACACTGAACTATAAACTAACTGCACCGAGCTTGGGTCACGTTGTCACGTGACATCACACCATTCTGTCTGTCTGACTCTCTTCTTGTGTGTTTGTCTGTCTGGCTTCACCCTTCACTGACTTATCCATCTTGCTGTGTCTTCGAGTGGCAGTTTAGTGGCACTTTAACCACACTATTACAGATCGGAAATAAGATCATCCATAGTATCCATATTATTCAAATTCCACTGCATCCTTTTGCTTTTGCAGTCAAATTTAAGGTTGGTTTTAATGGCAAGAAGACGAGTCAATTAACTACAAAATGAATTGTAAAATGTCTTACATGGAGTAAGCTACAGTTTTATTTCTCTATCCAAATTAGGTCTTATCCAATGCCAGGTTTAGTCTTCATTATTTGTGTCTGTACATGTTATATCATTCTTTCTCTTTTTCTTTCTCTTTGTTTATTCCTCCTCCACGTCTGCTGGATTTATTGTAGTTCTTCCTTGGAAACCAGGTAAAGTTGACTCGAGTGTTTGGTCCTTTGAAATCTGCTTCCTGGATCTCCACCAATGCAGTGGCCTCAATTCTATGCCACAAAAAATGTTGCCATGGTGACAATGCATTTCATGTTTGACCGGAAATGACATAACACCATTAAATATAGCACTACACTGTTGGTGCGAATTATGGAAGTGGGTTTCATAGGCCATTGAGGTTGTTCTCTTGGTGTGATTTTGCACATTTTTAAGACTTTTATTTTGAGAATGACATCAATTTGGCAGACTGGAATGGGTTAGAATGATAAGGGTTATAATGGTAACAAGGGGTTACCCTATCTGATTAGCTTTGGACTGGGGCAAATGGAAAAATTATGCTGTTCTGAGAGTAATTCAAAATTAACATTGGTCCCTTATCTGTTTGTGCTGTCTTGCCAACTCTATGGTCATTGTCACAATGACCATGAATCCCCAAAGAGTTGACAAGACAGCACAAACAGACACAGGCTAATCAAAGATAGCTCTGACGTGGTATTGCTTCATAGAGTTCTGCTTGCTGGGTGATGGAGCAGTTTACCATAGTAACTCTCTGAAGTGTAAATGTAATTCTGCATGAAACAAAGCTGACTATAAGGTAGAATGAAATATTTTAGAGATTGCCATGGGAACTAATATTTTGTTTTAGTTTATTGGGTAAGCTGGGCTTTTGACAAATAGGTGATTTAGTAGTATCATTAGTGCATGGGTGTTGTAGTATAATTTGCATGGAGTGGAGTGTACTTTTGCTCAGATTGGTATGGGTTGCTGTGTATAATGGCTTTGGATTCTTAAAATCTCATGTCAATAATCGTTGTACTCACTGAATTCCTCTCTGTTTCTCCCTCTGTCCATTTCCTCTCCTCTCTGTTTCTCCCTCTGTCCATTTCCTCTCCTCTCTGTTTCTCCCTCTGTCCATTTCCTCTCCTCTCTGTTTCTCCCTCTGTCCATTTCCTCTCCTCTCTGTTTCTCCCTCTGTCCATTTCCTCTCCTCTCTGTTTCTCCCTCTGTCCATTTCCTCTCCTCTCTGTTTCTCCCTCTGTCCATTTCCTCTCCTCTCTGTTTCTCCCTCTGTCCATTTCCTCTCCTCTCTGTTTCTCCCTCTGTCCATTTCCTCTCCTCTCTGTTTCTCCCTCTGTCCATTTCCTCTCCTCTCTGTTTCTCCCTCTGTCCATTTCCTCTCCTCTCTGTTTCTCCCTCTGTCCATTTCCTCTCCTCTCTGTTTCTCCCTCTGTCCATTTCCTCTCCTCTCTGTTGCTGTGTTAGTTTGGTGACTCTCAGCAGTTGCGGTTGGTGCGTATCCTGCGCAGTACGGTCATGGTGCGGGTCGGAGGGGGCTGGATGGCCCTGGACGAGTTCCTGGTCAAGAACGATCCCTGCAGAGGTGTGTGGGGTTTATTTATGCACAGACACACACACACACACACACACACTGAGTACACATACAAATACAGAATGTACGTACACACATACTCACATACACACACAGTTACAGAGTACAAAATGCAAGGCACTGGTTACACTGCGATGGACAAAAGGTAAATATATGGTACTATGGTCCACTGTTTAAACTAGACATAGTCGGACATATACATATAACCTTTCAGGTTTACTGTTTTCAGAGTTCTCTCTGTCTACAGTCTGCTCTGAGGAGCACACCAGACAATCTCTCTCTCTCTCTTTCTCTCTCTCTCCATCATCCCTTCTTTCTCTTCATCCCATTCTATGATAGTTATTTAAGCCAGTGGGCTTGAATCATCTCCATCTCTATCCATCTCTCTCTCTCTCTCTCTCTCTCTCTCTCTCTCTTATGTTTCGTATTTCTCTGTTGGTATCCCTTCTTTTTTCAGCTCTTCATTCATCTCTCCCTTTCTCATTCCTTTTTTCCAGCTTTGTTTTCTGTATATGCATGGCCTTTCTTTTCTCTCTCTTACTCTTTTTCTCCTGCTACTCAGTCATTCTTTCGAAGTAGTATTGCATGGTGCATGATCCTCAGTTCTCTTCCTCCCTTACCGTTCCTTTTGCCCCCTCCCTTCTTCCCTCTCTCTCCTTTTCTCTCTCCTTCCAGTGCAACATCCTGGACTTAAGATCCTTCGCTCCGACTCCAGTAGCACCATTTCATCTCGTATAGGTTGGGTTTCTCTCTCGCTCTCTTTCTCTTTTTTTCTCCCTCCGCCTCTTTTTTGTTCCCTCTCTCACTCCCTCTTGGTTGTTTTTTGGTTTGGCCTTTTTGCTGTGCTTTGCTGACTGTGACACTGAACTAACGTTCCTGCCCTTTCTGGCTACATGCTAATGCTAGCGCGAGGGGATCCATATCACAGGTTATAGGGCCAAGTCATTGACCTGTGTCTTTCTTTTGTTTTGAAGTTGTTTTAGCCACTTGTCACTTTGGTCCCTGATGTGTCCACCTCCACAATCCTTCAATCTTGGGGACTTTACCTGTATTTTTACTCCTTTGCCACTGTCTTCTGTGTTGAAGTGAGAGAGAGAAAGTGTGTGTACGCGAGAGAGACGCTAAGCAGAAGGAATGTGTGTGTTTTGTCTATGTATTTCCACCTCACCGTGAGCATGCCACTATTTCACGTTGTCTCTTGTGTCTCTCAGTGACGGTCACTCCTGGCTATTTCTGCTGCAGAGGTACCTACATTCCCTCTCTCTTCCATTGCTCCGTTGTCCAGCTCTCCATCTTTCTCACTCTGTCCATCCATCCAGCTCTAAATTTCTCATTCTAACTGCTCTGTCCATGTGCTTGTATCTATGTGTGGGCGTATGTATGTGTATACATGTCTAAGTCTTGTCCGTGTGCCAGTCCGCATCATGCTTCCCACTCAAAAAAGGATTGGCCAGCCCTGGTCTTGGTGGTAATGGTTGCCATGTGGATCCAAAATGGCGGCACAGATTGAAGGGCGAGTCCCATTTAAAAACAGAGACCGTCTAAGACCTGGGTGTGGCCAGCCTGGGTTTCTATTAGCACTTGAAGCGGCTCTTTAAATGTAATGGCGGGTGGGGACTGAATTAGAGGGTGCACCTGGCTCGCTGGGGGATGTAATTGCAGGGCGCGCACCCATGTATTATTGACTGGCCTTGCTGCTGTTGCTAGTGGATGACTATGAGGGGGTGTGTCCTGTCCTGGGTATATCTACTGACCACGGCTCCAGTGCCCTGCTGCTAATGCTAGCTGCAGCCCTCTCATCCCTCTTTCTTTCTCTCTCTCTTTCTTAGTCCCTTTCCTCCCTCTCTTTCCCTCCCTCTTTCTCACTGTGGCTGGCTTTTCTGGGCTTAAGTGTTGTGTGCTGGGGCTGCTGAACTATCTTGTCTAAGAATGCTTCTATGAATGTCTATGGGAGGGGAGTCCCCCATGGTACTGTATTGGGGCTCCCCCAAAGCATAACCAGGCATGCCCCACATAAACGCGCCAAACGCACTGTTTACGAATTAGGGAAAGAATAAAGGAGTCAACAGAGCGACTCCCTCGCAGTGAGAGAAGAGAGGCTGTGCTTTGGTTTACAGACAGACCTCTGTGTTCTAACTATATAACCAGATATATAACAGTTGTTCTAATAGTGTGGCTATAACAAATAAAAATGTATTATCAAAGTCCATACTTCCAATTGCTAAACATTTTTCACTAATAGTTTGGATATACTGACCTCTAACCTCTGTGTGAGGATGCCTTGCTGCCTTCCTCTAACCTCTGCACCATCACAAACACTACACACCCACTCCCTCTTCCCCTTAAAGGTAGCCCAGCCAGAAGTGCACTTCACTGACTCTGATTCCCAACCCTCCCCTCCCCGTACTCTATCCAGCACTGACTCAACCATACAGTGCACTGACTCTGAGAGCAGTGACTCGCCGGGGAAGCACTGACTCTGCCTCGCACTGCTCGCTGCCTCGATATGTACTGCATCCATAGTAACGATAACTATACGTGACTCGTTGTTTTGTCTCCCTCTTTCTTTCTTTCGCTCTCGTTCTCCTTCTTCCCTTCTTCCCTCACTCCAGCCCGAGGCCGTACCAACCTGGAGCTGCGTGAGAAGTTCATCCTACCGGAGGGGGCTTCCCAGGGCCTGGCGGCCTTCCGCTCCCGGGGCCGGCGCTCCAAACCCGGCTCCCGCACGGCCTCGCCCACCCGTTCCTCCTCCTCGGCCTCGCACAGCGCACATAGCTGCGCCTCCCTGCCCTCCGCTCCTGCCACCCCCACGGCCTCCTCTAGAGTAAGTGCCCTCGAAACCCATTCTTCCCCATAGAAATACAATTACTAGAACGGGAAAAGCTCCTCAGACCATGACAACTTGACAGAACCGGTGTACTCATCATGGGTAGACTCAATATGGTATTTATGGGAGCTAGGTGATAGAGCTATATCGCCCTTAAAGGGACATTTCCCTGCTTCTCTTCACGTCATATGTTGGTTACCATGTTAGTTATAGTAGAACTCTGTCACAAAGATCGGTAGTGTCTTTAATATAGGCTGAGCAATCACACAAGCTACTTTAATCGCTGTGGAAAAGGAAAGTGAACATGGTGTCTCTCTTTAAGTGTTCCTAATGGAAACAAAGATTAAAATGGAAACTGCAAGTGTACACTATACATATGCATAACAATACTACAATACATGTTCACAAACTGCAGTCAGTCATTGTCACATGTCAGTCATGTCAGAGTTTTAAAAAAAAGTTGTTTTGTATTTTACCCCCTTTTTCTCCCCAATTTCGGGATATCCAATTGCGATCCAATTTATGATCTTGTCTCATCGCGGCCAAACCCTTTTTCATGAGCATGGCCTTATTTCTATTACAGCATATTGGATGACTGTCATTCATATTTCATTCACAAAGTTCAATGTAACAGCAATAGGTTTAAGCTACTACATGATACACTCAAATTTTCCCTATACCCATCATGAGGTTTCTACAACCTAGCCTATGAATGAAAGTTTACAACATAGGTGCACACAGGTCGAGATAAATATTTGAGGTGACAGACAGTGACACATTCAATACCGCCTTGCACACTCTTGCCTGCATCTAGCTGATCTAGGGTGTAATCATTAGTCCAACAGTTGCAAATGAGAGTTTCTATTGGACAAATGCAGGTATGTTTATCCCGTTTCATTCCGTTTGCTTCCGTTTAAGAAACGTTTTTTAACAGAATCGGCGGAATGAATACACCCCTGATCACACTTAAACACAGTTCACTTTCATAGTAGCCACGTTGTATTCCTTCTCACATCTATGCGCTCTTCTCCTTTCATCTTTTCCCTTCGCTTATGGACTTCAATGCACAACACATCAACTGTATGTGACCAGGCGAAAAAACTTTTCCAAACCATATCATAACCACTACACACAGTTTACATCGTTGTCACTATATTAGCTAAAGTAACATCATAGTCAACATAGCTAATAGAACTAACGCGTTTGTAAACCCACTACAATCATGCAGTAACATTACAGTGTACAATCAGTGAGCAGTTTAGCACTTACACCGGCGGGCCCCGGTGCCAATAAATGAGTAAAACCAAAAGCTTACCTTGACTTGGAAGAGTTCCAGTGTTGTGTTGGATAGTCATAGCCAGCTAGCTAACATTAGCATCCCTCTGTTTGAGCAGGGTGTTTGAGTAGGCTAAACTAGCTAGCTGCATTTGCAAATGACATCTCTCTCTAGCTCTCTTCATTTTGGAAGAAATTAAATTGTTCAAAACTGTTCAACTATTGTCTTGCTCTCTCTTTGAGTCAACTACTCACCACATTTTATGCACTGCAGTGCTAGTTAGATGTAGCTTATGCTTTCAGTACTAGATTAATTCTCTGATCCTTTGATTGGGTGGACAACATGTCAGTTCATGCTGCAAGAGCTCTGATAGGTTGGAGGACTTCCTCCGGAAGTTGTCATAATTACTGTGTAAGTCTATGGAAGGGGGTGAGAACCATGAGCCTCCTAGGTTTGGTATTGAAGTCAATGTACCCAGAGGAGGATGGAAGCTAGCTGTCCTCCGGCTTCACCATGGTGCTACCCTACGGAGTTCTGTTAAGGCTACTGTAGACCTTTATTGCCAAACAGTGTATTTTAATCAATTATTTTGTGACGTGAATATATTTAGTATAGTTTTATCTAAAAAGGATATGTTTTTTAATGTTTTACCATTTTTATGAAATTTCACTGAGGAGGATGGCCCTCCCCTTCCTCCTCTGAGGAGCCTCCACTGCTCAGTTCGGATGAAACACACCTCTCCGGCCTTTCTCACGTATACCACTGCATCCTAAACACTAGACAATTATGTTTCGTATAACGTAGTGTAGCACCACTGGTCGTATATTCAATCAGTCAGTTACTGTAGCCTAGGTCAAAATAGAAAAGTATATGGTCATCGCAAGTATACTTTCATCACTATCTAGTGTGGCAGTCCAACCAAGGTGCATGAAATGAGGAAAAACTGAGTCTAAAGAAGATATTCAGCCAGTCTTGGAGGACAAAGCATGAAGCCATATTACCCAGAATACCCATAATTATCTGTATTGTTGTCACTGATCATTAGTTGTGTAGTCTGTTTATTGTGTGATTTTTGTATCGTGTATGTGTCTTTTGTCAGTCTGTGTTGAAATGGTTGTTTTTCTGTTTCTACATGTCAACAACAATCACCACGTCCTTAACTGTGAGATTTTTATTTGTTGTTCTGTTCTTTATTTTTGTCTTTCTTTTGTCTCCTAAATCCCTCCAATCCACCCCCTGCTAACCTCGCTTGAAAAATGTTTTTCGTTCTGTGTTTTTAAATCATTCCACTGTCGCACCAAAAACACTGCGCTACACTACCTGCCTCCCCTCATACCCCTTCCTCCCTTCCTGCCTTCCCCTATTTTCCTTTGCTCTACTTTCCTGCTTCTCTCCTTGCTTCTCCTCCTTTTTTATTCTCCTTGGCTGCCTCCCTACCTCCCTCCTTCCCTTTGCTGATCCCAGTCCTCAAACTCGCGTGGCTATGCCAAGCCCTGGCTGGCACACAGTAAAACTCCAACGCCTACCAAGTGCCAGTCCTGCCCAGACCACGGCCACACCACCCATGGGCATGAGGTAACACACAGACCCCCCCCCCCCAACCTCCCGCCACCCCTCCCAAGCCCCAGCGAACTAATAACGCACTAACTCACACACACTTATCACTCACTTACGGGTGGCTATAGACACTGCACAATGGGACCATGAAGACATAGGAGACGTGATATAAAAATTCAGCTTTAAGACTGAATATATTTGCATCATATCTTGTTTCACTGTTTTTGCTCAATATTCAGTTTAACATTATTATGTGCATTGTCACAATATTTTTGCACCCCGGCAAGAAGTGACTGGTGGTAGGTCAATAGAAAGAGATTCAAAGTGATGTTCTCTTAAAGAGGAAGTAGTGAGAAATTGTATCATTATTAGCTATCTCCATATACGTTGTGTTGAACTGGTAGTTCTAGGGATTTAGTTTGGTAGTCTTGGTCATTTTTTAAGTGATGTGTCTGCTGTATTATGCTAGTATGGGGATGATGCTTAAAAGTAGGACCAGCTCCTTTAGTTAAAGGTAGATGCAGCAATATGACATCATCATACACAACAGGGCAACATCCTGGCTACAAACATCAACAACAATGAAATTCTAATTCACTATTGACTTCCCAATGTCAGCATGCCTCAAGACTCAAATTGGGAAGAGCCAAAAGTGACAGCCTTTTCAGATTTGTACTCTGTTTGGTGGATTTATTTTTATTTTATTTTTTATTTCACCTTTATTTAACCAGGTAAGCCAGTTGAGAACAAGTTCTCATTTCCAACTGCGACCTGGCCAAGATAAAGCAAAGCAGTGCGATAAAAACAACAACACAGAGTGGCGCAGTGGTCTAATGCACTGCATCGCAGTGCTAACCGTGCCACTAGAGATCCTGGTTCGAATCCAGGCTCTGTCGCAGCCGGCCGCGACCGGGAGACTCATGGGCGGCGCACAATTGGCCCAGCGTCGTCCAGGGTAGGGGAGGGAATGGCCGGCAGGGATGTAGCTCAGTTGATACAGCATGGCGTTTGCAACGCCAGGGTTGTGGGTTTGATTCCCACGGGGGGCCAGTATAAAAAAATATGTATTCACTAACTGTAAGTCGCTCTGGATAAGAGCGTCTGCTAAATGACTTAAATGTAAATGTAAATGTACATATGGGGTCCAAAAAACATAAGGTCATAAAATACAACAGAAAATATATATACAGTGTGTGCAAATGTAGCAAGTTATGGAGGTAAGGCAATAAATAGGCTATAGTGCAAAATAATTACAATTAGTATTAACACTGGAATGCTAGATGTGCAAGAGATTATGTGCAAATAGAGATACTGGGGTGCAAAAGAGCAAAATAAATAACAATATAGGGATGAGGTAGTTGGGTGGGCTAATTTCAGATGGGCTGTGTACATGTGCAGTGATCGGTAAGGTGCTCTGACAACTGATGCTTAAAGTTAGTGAGGGAGATAAGAGTCTCCAGCTTCAGAGATTTTTGCAATTCGTTCCAGTCATTGGCAGCAGAGAACTGGAAGGAATGGCGGCCAAAGGAGGTGTTGGCTTTGGGAATGACCAGTGAGATATACCTGCTGGAGCGCAGACTACGGGTGGGTGCTGCTATGGTGACCAATGAGCTAAGATAAGGCGGGGATTTGCCTAGCAGTGATTTATAGATGGCCTGGAGCCAGTGGGTTTGACGACGAACATGTAGTGAGGACCAGCCAACAAGAGCGTACAGGTCACAGTGGTGGGTAGTGTATGGGGCTTTGGAGACAAAACGGATGGCACTGTGATAGACTACATCCAATTTGCTGAGTAGAGTGTTGGAGGCTATTTTGTAAATGACATCGCCGAAGTCAAGGATCGGTAGGATAGTCAGTTTTACGAGGGAGGAAGTCGTCCCGCTGTGTATGATGATGTCATATTGTGGTGTCTACCTTTTAAAGGCCCAGTGCAGTCAAACATTTGATTTGATATATATATACATACCAGTCAAAAGTTTGGACACACCTACTCATTCAAGGGTTTTTCTTTAACTTTACTATTTTTTACATTGTAGAATAATAGTGAAGACATCAAAACGATGAAATAACACATTTGGAACCATGTAGTAACCAAAAAAGAGGTTAGAATATATATTTAATATTTGAGATTCTTCAAATAGCCACCCTTTGCCTTGATGATAGCTTTGCACACTCTTGGCATTCTCTCAACCAGCTTCATGAGGACGTCACCTGGAATGCATTTCAATTAACAGGTGTGCCTTCTTAAAAGTTAACTTGTGGAATTTCTTTCCTCCTTAATGCGTTTGAGCCAATCAGTAGTATTGTGACAAGGTAGGGGGGGTATACAGAAGATAGCCCTATTTGGTAAAGACCAAGTCCATATTATGGCAAGAACAGCTCAAATAAGCAAAGAGAAACGACAGTCCATCATTACTTTAAGACATGAAGGTCAGTCAATACGGCAACATTCAAGAACTTTGAAAGTTTCTTCAAGTGCAGTCGCAAAAACTATCAAGCGCTATGATGAAACTGGCTCTCATGAGGACCGCCACAGGAATGGAAGACCCAGGGTTACCGCTGCTGCAGAGGATAAGTTCATTAGAGTTACCAGCCTCAGAAATTGCAGCCCAAAGAAATGCTTCACAGAGTTCAGGGAACAGACACATCTCAACATCAACTGTTCAGAGGGGACTGTGTGACTTAGGCCTTCATGGTCGAATTGCTGCAAAGAAAACACTACTAAAGGACACCAATAAGAAGAAGAAACCTGCTTGGGCAAAGAAACACGAGCAATGGACATTAGACCGGTGGAAATGTGTCCTTTGGCAATACGCCATCCCATTTGGTTTGGGCTTAGTGGGACTATCTTTAGCTTTTCAACAGGACAATGACCCAACACACCTCCAGGCTGTGTAAGGGCTATTTGACCAAGAAGGAGAGTGATGGAGTTTGGGATGAGTTGGACGGTAGAGTGAAGGAAAAGCAGCCAACAAGTGCTCAGCATATGTGGGAACTCCTTCAAGACTGTTGGAAAATAGTGAAATTAACTTTTAACAAGGCACACCTGTTAATTGAAATGCATTCCAGGTGACTAACTTATGAAGCTGGTTGAGTGTGCAAAGCTGTCATCAAGGCGAAGGGTGGCTACTTTGAAGAATCTCAAATATTAAATATATTTTGATTTGTTTAACACTTTTTGGGTTACTACATGAGTCCATATGTGTTGTTTCATAGTTTTGATGTCTTCACTGTTATTCTACAATGTAGAAAATAGTGCAAATAAAGAAAAACCCTTGAATGAGTAGGTGTGTCCAAACTTTTGACTGGTACTGTGTGTGTGTATGTATGTGTGTGTGTGTGTATATATAGTGTGAATATATATATATATATATATATTCACACTATGTGGTCGGAAAACTTTTAAATTGTGAAAGTGATGATAATACCCTTTTAGTGTAAGATTGCCTGAAATTTCAGCCTGTTTTGGTGGGAGGGAGTTTTGGCTTTCCATAGTGACATCTCCATGCAGTAAATGAGTTAATAGACCAATAAGAAAGAGTTTCAAACCTCTGCCAATAACAGCTAATTTTCAGTTTTCCCTCCTCACTCAAACCACTCCTAGCAAAATTCTTGCTTAAGAAAATGCTCTTTGCTAAGAAGCTATTTTTGTTTCTTTTAGACCATGTTAATTGAAAACAATCACATTAAGGTACTTCATTGTTACCCAGAAATGATTTGATATTGATATAAAAACAGCTGCATTGAACTTTTAATGCAGTGTTTCTTAATCCTGGTCCTGGGCACCCAAAGGGTCAGTTTTGTTTTTGCCATAGCGCTACACAGCTGATTCAAATGATCAACTCATCATCTTTGATGATTTGAACAGGTGTGTATTGCTGAGGCAAAAACAAAAATGTGCACCCCTTTGGGTCCCCAGGACCAGGATTAAAAAGCATTGCTTTAATGTATTCAGTAGCACAGTTTGCCACTGTCTGACATTCCCTGTGTCTGTCTATAGGGGGCAGCGTCGGGGTCCAAGCTGAAGAGGCCCACATTGCACTCCAGCCGAGGGTCTCTGACTGGAGAGAATGGAGGAGCTACACCCACTTCTACTAAACCTGGACGCAACGGTAAGAACAAAGTCCTGATTTTTCATACCAGTTTTGATTCCTATTTTCAGTCCTCTATTTTTGTTATCTTGGAACATGTGATTCCCATAATTAAAATGAGACTAAACATCATTATTTTCTCTATTCTTCACTTTCTATCCCTCATCACCTACCCTTACCCTCCTCCTCTCAGACCCCAGGCGTACCCCATCGGGGGCCAGTGGTGCTGCCAGCCGGGCGGGCAGCAGAGCAGGCAGCAGGGCCAGCAGCAGGCGGGGTAGCGACGCTTCGGACGCCTCAGAGCTCCTGGAGACGCACTCGGCCTGCTCAGACACCTCAGACACCCCCCGGCGACCAGGAGCGGCCAAGCCCTCCAAGATCCCTACCATCTCCAAGAAGGCCCCCAGCCCCAAGACACCCTCTTCTGGGAAGAAATAGTGAAGGAAACGTCAAAAAGACGTCATAAAAACGTCACACATCCAACTACAGAGACGTCAACATAAATACGTCATGAGGCTGGTTTGACTCCAAAGGCTCCCCCAGACCCCCAAACACCAGCCAGGATGAAATGGAGAGGAAGATGTCCAGACTATAAAATGAGATCAAGTAGAACGGACCGTCTCCCATTCAAAGAGACGCTCTATAGTGGACAGACTACTGGCGGCCATATTGGGTGTCACATTTGATCCAAACGTCCATCCATAGGGCTTGCATGGGATTCATGCACCAAGACTACTGTACGGAGGGCAGGTAGAGAGGGGGATAGATAAGGGAAGAAATCTCTTTCTCTCTTTCCCTCCCTCGTACACACACTCAAATACACTAACTGGGGGCGTCGAGGCCCGGGTTTGTGCACTTAGACAGGGGTGAAATGGAACAGAACTTTCCCCTTTAAAACCCAGGTCCCAGTTTTCCTTCCAGTCTCCTGTGCGCTCTCTCTCGTAACGGGATTGTGCCAACCAACCAACATGATGCTGCCTTATTTGTGTTGTACATTTCTGTCGTTACTTTTACCTAATCTGAGTTCTACAGAGCGTTAAGTAGGGCCTTGTAACTACTTTGGGTATGTACACACTGACAAACAACTGAAATGCACACACACACACACACATTGAGGGGAGAGATTAAATCACTCAGAACTTGCTAGAGAATGGCATTCAGAAGAACTGGATTGTGGGTATTGTGGAAATTGTTTCTCACCATGAGTTAAACAGAAAATATCCAATGACTGCCATCTTGTTTTTTCCTTTCCTGGACTGGGAAGTGAAGAGGAATGACACTTCAGCATGTCTGTGGGTCGGGAACAACCAGACTAGCGTGGACTTATGTTCAGTGTGTGGGTAGCCCCACTCGGACCACTTCCTGCACTGAGCTGACTGCCTAAACCTCATGCCTAGGAGACTGTGGAAGTGGTGGGAAACACACATATACACTGCGATGTCCTCACAAACCACTGCAACAATCAAAGTGTGTTTGAAGGTGTGTATGAGAGTGTGTGTTTGATGGAATGGAGGGTTTGTCACATTGTCCTATAGTCTGAAACTACTGTGTTTCTGAGAAAAAAGCACTACAATTGAAAGAGTACTTCTTGGTGGGACCCCACTAACAGCAAAAACGTGACAAAATGTATAACAATGAAGTGGCTTGTAAGGACACGTACAATTTAAACTACGCTTATTCCAGATTAGAGATTGAAGACCAGCGCACACTGACAGTCTGTATCGCTGTAATTCCGCTTCGCCCCTCTCCCCTCCATTGCCGCTGGAAACCCCAGAGCGGCAAACACAAATGTTTGTATACGCGTGTCGTCGTCACGTGATACAGAAATCAGAGGTTTCTACTTCTTCATAACATTACTCAACTAGGAAGCTGACTGATAACCCATGGCAGCCTTTTTTGCTAATGACTACAACTCCCAGATCATGACCAAAGGGGGTTGCCCTTATTGTGTTGATAAGAAACTGAGAGAACCCCCAGTATCCCGCCTTATAGGCGTTTGAATTGTCATGTCTTTGATGGCTGCAAATGTCCTCCCCTGTATCTTGACGTGAGAGCTGAAGTATATGAAAACCTAATGACCGCAAATTACATCTTAAGGTGATTTTTATTTATTTATTGTCTCTTTGGGGGTGGGGATCTGGGCGCAGCAGAGGAACTCACCTTTTGATGCTGTGTTATTCACAGTGTGATGAAGAGAAAATATGGAGGGGGGGGGTTGTTAGAAGTCAATTGTGTATAATAAAAATATAAGATTATAAACCTTTTTTGTTCTCTTTTTGTATTAAAAATATGCTTGCAGTAAACCATTTTTTGTGTCATTGTGGATTGATTTTAATTTCATTTGGGGGGAAATTGTGTATGTGTCCGTGTCTCCATGCCTGTGTGCGGGTGAGCCTACGTGTCTGGGAGAGAGTCTGTAGACCACAGACTCTGCACACTGGAAATGGCTTGGTAATTAGGGTTGGGGTACAATTAGCATCTCCAGAGATAAGGACACGCCCTGTAGTAGGATCTTCAAGAGAGGAAGTGAGGTCTCTCTGTGGTCATGGATGGGTGTGTTTCTCTTCCGCTTTTTATTCTACAGTATATTGTGAGAAATGTAGCTGAGGTCTGTCTCATTCTCTGCTTCCACAGTAGCTAAATATAAGACTTGGTTTGTATGTGTTAGAGGAGGAGATGGAGCTATTACGTCATTTTCGTTAGAGAGAGAGAAAATGAAAATCACCTTGGTTTATTTGGCGGATGGGGTTTGGTCTTTACAGTCTTCCCTGTGCAGCTGTGTGTCGGTGTTTACATGGAACTATCCAAACCCACTCACATCCTCTCCCATCTATTCTCACGTCTGTCCTCACCGCCTATAATTACTCCGACGACAGACGGACGGACTCACTATCATTCTCTCACCCTTCCCTCTCCATCCTTTATTCCTCTCTCCGGCCCTAAACTCCCTCAACACTGGAGAAAGAAAAACAAAAATACCACAGAAAATACTCATTCCTGGCACTTCTGACTCCCTGGCCTTAGAAAAGATGGCGGTCATTTTGGTTTGGTCTGTCAGTATTTTTGCCATTCAAAGTGGCCGCAAGTCCCAGGGTGCTTTGAAGTCAAACATACACAAACACAAACTGAAATTGAACTGACCCTCACTACTATATTTGAGTCTGTGTCATTTCTCCCCTCAAATCCCTTGCTAGCACACACACTCACTCACACGCACAGTATTGCAGTCAAACTGGAAGGAGGTAAAGACAACTCGCAATCTGTTTAAGAGGAAATTAAAACCTGTAAAATACAGAAAACAACATTTTATGAGGTACATGTTTTGACAGTACACCTAAAGCTACAGCAGTCTCCATTCATGCTGTTAGTACTGGGTTTAAAGATACGGTAGGATTGCTAATCTGTGTTGTTCTGTGAGGTTTTGGCAGGCCATTGACTCCTTGTGGTTCCCCAGGATTCCAAACCACAGCTAAAACACACAGCTGTGTCTATATACACTGCTCAAAAAAATAAAGGGAACACTTAAACAACACAATGTAACTCCAAGTCAATCACACTTCTGTGAAATCAAACTGTCCACTTAGGAAGCAACACTGATTGACAATAAATGTCACATGCTGTTGTGCAAATGGAATAGACAACAAGTGGAAATTATAGGCAATTAGCAAGACACCCCCAATAAAGGACTGGTTTTGCAGGTGGTGACCACAGACCACTTCTCAGTTCCTACGCTTCCTGGCTGATGTTTTGGTCACTTTTGAATGCTGGCGGTGCTTTCACTCTAGTGGTAGCATGAGACGGACCCACACAAGTGGCTCAGGTAGTGCAGCTCATCCAGGATGGCACATCAATGCGAGCTGTGGCAAGAAGGTTTGCTGTGTCTGTCAGTGTAGTGTCCAGAGCATGGAGGCGCTACCAGGAGACAGGCCAGTACATCAGGAGACGTGGAGGAGGCCGTAGGGCAACAACCCAGCAGCAGGACTGCTACCTCCGCCTTTGTGCAAGGAGGAGCAGGAGGAGCACTGCCAGAGCCCTGCAAAATGACCTCCAGCAGGCCACAAATGTGCATGTGTTTGCTCAAACGGTCAGAAACAGACTCCATGAGGGTGGTATGAGGGCCCGACGTCCACAGGTGGGGGTTGTGCTTACAGCCCAACACCGTGCAGGACGTTTGGCATTTGCCAGAGAACACCAAGATTGGCAAATTCGCCACTGGCGCCCTGTGCTCTTCACAGATGAAAGCAGGTTCACACTGAGCACATGTGACAGAGTCTGGAGACGCCGTGGAGAACGTTCTGCTGCCTGCAACATCCTCCAGCATGACCGGTTTGGCGGTGGGTCAGTCATGGTGTGGGGTGGCATTTCTTTGGGGGGCCGCACAGCCCTCCATGTGCTCGCCAGAGGTAGCCTGACTGCCATTAGGTACCGAGATCAGATCCTCAGACCCCTTGTGAGACCAAATGCTGGTGCGGTTGGCCCTGGGTTCCTCCTAATGCAAGACAATGCTAGACCTCATGTGGCTGGAGTGTGTCAGCAGTTCCTGCAAGAGGAAGGCATTGATGCTATGGACTGGCCCACCCGTTCCCCAGACCTGAATCCAATTGAGCACATCTGGGACATCATGTCTCGCTCCATCCACCAACACCACGTTGCCCCACAGACTGTCCAGGAGTTGGCGGATGCTTTAGTCCAGGTCTGGGAGGAGATCCCTCAGGAGACCATCCGCCACCTCATCAGGAGCATGCCCAGGCATACAGACACTTGGAGGCCACACACACTACTGAGCCTCATTTTGACTTGTTTTAAGGACATTACATCAAAGTTGGATCAGCCTGTAGTGTGGTTTTCCACTTTAATTTTGAGGGTGACTCCAAATCCAGACCTCCATGGGTTGATACATTTGATTTCCATTGATAATTTTTGTGTGATTTTGTTGTCAGCACATTCAATTATGTAAAGAAAAAAGTATTTAATAAGATTATTTCATTCATTCAGATCTAGGATGTGTTATTTTAGTGTTCCCTTTATTTTTTTGAGCAGTGTATATGTGTCTATATATATTTTTTTTCTTAATCTCAAAATAAATAAATATATTCAGTGTATATATTTTTCACCAAACTGACAGATATTTTCCCATGAAAGGAAGCCTCATGAGGATGAAAAGATAAAAGGGAGGGAGGGAGATTTTAAAAAGCCCAAAGGGAGGGATAGGGAAGAGCGTTGGTAGAGGATGTGGGGAGAGGGAGGAGGCTGTATAGGACACTCCCTCTTGGTAATGGACAACTCAACCAGTGTTGAAGCGCCCTTACATGAGGTAAACTCTCAGAGGACACACCACAGTACGCTGACAAACATACCGGCATTGTTCTCCACAACAGGTATTTTGGGGGAATCCAAAAGAATAGTACAATAGCAAGGAATAAAAGACTCATCTCATAGAAAATACTCAATGCACCAAGGATTTTAAGTAGAAGCTGCACAAAGGTTGAGGAAGACATCTGGAATAATCTGAAGTTAAAGACGCAAGTGGACGTAACAAACAAACAAAGGATCTTTAATGGATAAAAAGTACCCCAGAATTGTGGATTAAAGAATTATAGATCAAGAGGTGGACTACAGATTATTTTCCCACTGAGAATTTGACTCCTTGTTCCTTGCGTGGGATCAGGTTGTTGCTTGCCAGCCAACATTGAGGCGCGACAAGTGTGGTGTTTTTTTCTCATCCTTTTGAAGACCGATTAGACTGAAAACAGGTCTGATTATTTAGTTCTCTCAAATTTCATTGACTACCAATCTTGGTAGCACCTGCCCTTTAACTTAACCACATTCAACCTCCTTCAAATGTACTTATTCAAAGGGAGAGATTTTGAAGACGTTTGTTTTCATCAAAACAGTTGTAATTAAACCCTTGCTTTCCTTTTATTTTCTGTGTGTATGGCATGAGCAGAGTCGTGTAGAAGTGTCGGGTAGAAGAGAAAAGGCAAGCAGTGGCTGGGGGATTAAAGTAGTAGAGGAAGGGAGGAGACGAGAGATAAACAGAGGGAATTAAAGGAGTAAACATCTCTTAGTGTCTACTGTTGATCTAAACACATCTCATCACAAATCACAGAGGCGCAGTTGTTAGTGACAGACCTGTGATACGTGTAAGACAAACAGTTTGGCATACACAGACAGACGGGACATGCAAATTGTCTGAGACATACAGTAACAGTCCTCTGTGGCGTGTGTACGTGCACTTTGGGTGTGCGTTGCAGAATATTATTTGCTCTCTTGTGGACTGAAGAACATAGAAAAATCAACCAAAGACTTGTAGGTTAGAAATAGAGAGAATAGAAAAGCACCCGGGTAGAGCTTCTTCCACTATGGCAGCGGACACCTTGGAAGATCTCTGTTCAACCACACAGAGCTTTGACAGACCGGATGGTTTCAGAACATACGTCTACACCCACAGCTGCCCGTGCACAGGAAGAAGACACATCCATGACAACAACAGCAAGTACACCTACAGGTGCCTTCTCCAACTCCCACTCTTCCCTATAGCTCTACTCCTCGTCCCCTTGCTGCTCTGTATCTGGGGCCACCAGGCCCAAGGAGTCGTCCACTCCAGCTTCCGCCGCCTCAGCAGCCGAGAAAAGAAAGAGATGCAGAGGGAGATCCTGTCCATCCTGGGTCTACCGGGTCGGCCCAGACCCCATCCTCCCCTCCGACCGCCCTCTTCAGCCCCCCTCTTCATGCTGGACCTGTACCACGCTGTGTCGGCCGAGGGGGATGAGGGAAACGGAATAGGGGATTGGGCAGGGGGTCTGGGGTTCGGCGTTGTGGATGGGTTGACGGGCCACGTCAGCCATGCCGCGCTGCCCACGCTTAACACATACACGGCGCCACTGGGGATGGTGGTCAGCGAGGCAGATACGGTCATGAGCTTCGTCAACCTGGGTGAGTTACTGACCGTTGATAAACCTGCAATTTAAAATTATTGTGTTTTAATTGGCTATTGTTGTTGACTCGTTATCCAATTAGTTGGGAGTTGTTTGTTCAGCCAATGGCCTCCCAATAGGGATTTCCAAATAGAGGCCCCAGGGCCTGATCTGGCCAAAAACGTATCCTGTGATCCTTTACATGTCTTGCAAAGAGCCCAGTAACTGAATAAAGGACATATAGTTGGATTTTTCAATGGGAAACTAGGCCAATATGGCAACGTTATGTGGTGTTGAACCAGTTCACCTCTCAGGGACAGTTTTGTTATCACATGAGATACTTGTCCTGTGCTGCACCATCCCAGTCAGTAGACCTACTGATGCTTATCTGACACGGCATAAAAATTAAACGTCCTTTTCCCAGTCGTTTCCTTCCGCTATCTCTCCTGGAATAAGATGGAAAACCTTGTTACCGTGGGAAACATAATTCCATGTTATTTCTCTTCACATTTTGCATTGCTTCGACACTTGATATGCTAGTTTTTCTTCGGATTTCTAGTATTTTGACATACATAATAATATATATTACTGTATCATACATTACTGTTTTTGTTATATTTTTGTGTAATTATACATTTCAGTTAATGTTTCACTAGATCTTATTTTGACAATGTCTGGTGTGACGCCTTGAACCACCATCTAACCAATCTAGACAGTTTCTCATTTATAGCCCCTGTCAGTTGGAGAAAGAAAATACACCCATCACACACACAGTACACACACACACACACCCTATCAATCCGACCCAGTCAAGGCCATGCAACCCGCTCAACACAGCTGTAAGGAATTACAGGCCCCACTGACACACACAGAAATGGAGAAACGGGCTAACAAGAGGGGAAAATGCGGCAGAGGACCGCTCTAAAAATACTCCCCAACCTGTAGTTAGTGGTGTGTGTGTTGAGCAGCTGCTGCAGTTGTAGGTCCTTAGTGTCTCTAATTACTGTACACTACAGGGCCCCGACCGTGGTTGTTAATCTGCTCTTCAGAGAGAGAGAGAGGATGTGTGTGTGTTCATGTGTGCGTAGTCTCGCTTGAGACACTGTGTCTGTGGTGAGAGACCAGCGTGTGCGTGTCCTTCCCTATCTTTCTCTGTCTTTCCCTATTGCCTCCCTCTCTCTCTACATTATCGCTATCCTGTCCTCCTTCACTGGGGATCACCTGCACACCTCTCTCCACGTCTGCTCCGCTCCTCTTTCCTCTTATTTCCATTGACTCAGTCACTCACCTTCCAATCCTCCCATCTCCCATCTCCCTCCACACCTTCCCACTTCTGCTGCTCTTTTCTCTCCCTCTGTCTTCTCATTCACCACTTTCATATTATATTTATTGCTCCATGTTTTGCTCTTTCGCCTCCCTCTTCAACCTCCTCCTTGTGTCATGTTGGAATGTCTGTATCATACACTATGTATCGTACAATGAGTATATCTCTGTGTTTGTATTTCTGTCTTTTTAGGGCTTGTTGAGGGGAGTAGAGGTAATGTGTAGTGTAGATGTGAGCATGTGTGAATATGAGGTTTTGTGCTGTTTAAATGTGAAAATGTCAGTGGTATTACATCGACCTCCCTCTCTCCTCCTCTCTCTCAGTGGAGCAGGAGCGGGACCTGCTGCAGCCGCGGCCGTACTGGAAGGAGTTCCGTTTTGACCTGACGCCCCTCCCCCAGGGGGAAACAGTGACAGCTGCAGAGTTTCGCATTTATAAGACCCTGACCATGGGCCAGAGGGCCAACCGCACCCTGCACATCTCCGTCTACGAGATCCAACGGGAGAACAAACACAGGTTCCTGCCACTAGATCTACTTAATATAGCTATTTAACGCTCTCTCTCTGACATATGTATATGATCTACTTTTGGTTTTGAATGAAAAAAAGGATCAAACAGATAAAATAATGCCTTTCTTATGATTCCCCTCACTCTCTTTGCATGCTCTCTCTTTTTTCTCTCTATACACCACGGTTTGGCATATCGGTCCAGATGTTTTTTGTTTGTTGCTGTGGCAAAATGCAATGTTGAATTTGTATTGCTATTCACCCTGGCCTCATAGAACTCCTGGCAAAATAACTCATTGGCCACGTTGTGGCTTGCGAGGACGTCTTGTACAAACTTGGTTCTCGAGAGCTGAAGCTCAGTGTCTGTCTCTACTGCACGGCCATACAACATGTTTTGCGTATCTCTCCAGAGTTTGTTGTCTCATGCCACTCCTCGACTTTCCTCAGAGAGCCAGAGCTGGTGCTGCTGGACATGCAGTCGGTGCCTGCGGGGCAGGAGGGCTGGCTGGCTTTTGACGTGACCTCGGCCAGCAACCGCTGGCTCCTGCACCCCCGCAGCAACCTGGGCATCCGGCTCTATGTGGAGACAGAGGAGGGTGAGCATCATAGAGTTAATACTATGGTCAGGGTCAGGAAATGCTCTGCAGATGTGGAGGCTATTTCCCACTAAGTGGATTTCTTGATTTTTATGCCTTTGAATAAGGAGGGAAATTCACTCAGAATACAACACCAGTACCTGTGCAGTAACACTGTAATGTCACATAGTATTTGTAATTGTTTAGTAAATACATAGAAATTGAGGTTTTGGTTTACCTCAAGATTGTTCTCTCTCTATCAGACCGGTCCCTGTCAGCTGGGTGGGTAGGATTGGTGGGTCGTAGGGGCCCCCGCTCCAAACAGCCCTTCATGGTGACCTTCTTCAGGGCCAGCCAGGCCCCCTGTCGCCCCCCACGCGCCCTGAAACCCAACCCCCGCAAGAAGAAACCCAAATACGACCTGCCCCTGCCCAGTATACATGGTGAGGTCCTACAAGGTCAGGGGACAACTGGTTTTTGGTCTTGTTGTTAAACTTGTTTTATGCACAGTTTAAAGGGATAGTTCATCCAAATTACAAAATTACTTAAATTGCGTTTAAATTTAGTTATGTATTTTATTTTAAATCCAATGCATCCAAAGTGTACATTACAGTTTGTCCTGGCTCATAACACATTTTTTGGTCCCTTTCAGATCACAGCCACGTCAACAGTGGGCGTCAGGCTTGTAAGAGACATGAATTATATGTGAGCTTCAGTGACCTAGGCTGGAAGGTGAGATTCTGTCTCCCTTAACTACTCATTCGATTGAATAGATAATATCATGAGCTAACATTGTATCAACTTATTTGCTGTAACACACAGTTCTATTCTAGTCATTAATCTAATCTTGTCATTCTATTTCTATGGTATTTCTCTCCATTAGGACTGGGTCCTGGCTCCTACGGGTTACTCTGCCTTCTATTGTGATGGAGAATGCCTCTACCCTCTGGGTTCCTGCATGAATGCCACCAACCACGCTATGATCCAACTAGTGGTCAGTATGCACTACTAAATCCTCTCTCACATGAACGCTAACATTATTGGTTTCAGTCGGAAAGATGGTAAATGGCTCAGACATTAATGGCAAATATAAAAAACTAAAATACCCAAGTTACCTGAGTCTACAATGGCGGACTCTCAATGTAGAGTGCGGATAGTGAGAAGTAACATTCAAGACTGAAGCAATTGTGTCCTCTAGTGGTATACTTTATACTGTACCAGGTTACTACAGTACACACACTGATAATACAAAACATTAAGGACACCAGCTCTTTCCATGACATAGACTGACCAGGTGAATCCAGGTGAAAGCTATGATCCCTTATTGATGTCACTTGTTAAATCCACTTCAATCAGTGTAGATGAAGGGGAGTTAAAGAAGGATTTTTAAGACTTGAGAGAATTGAGACATGGATTGTGTCTTTGTGCCGTTCAGATGGTGAATCGGCAAGACAAAATATTTAAGTGCCTTTGAACGGGGTATGGTAGTAGGTGCCAGGCGCTGCTGGGTTTTTCATGCTCAACAGTTTCCCGTGTGTATCAAGAACGGTCCACCACCCAAAGGACATCCAGCCAACTTGACACAACTGTGGGAAGCATTGGAGTCAACATGGCCAGCATCCCTGTGGAACGCTTAGGGTACCTTGTAGAGTCCATGCCCCGATGAATTGAGGCTGTTCTGTGGGAAAAAGGGGGAGCAACTCAATATTAGGAAGGTGTTCCTAATGTTTTGTACACTCAGTGTATGTTTTTAAATAGTACAGTATCACATCACAGTACAAAGCCATATAAAGTGTGGACCTGTAGTACCTGTAAATCAACTAAACGTTGCTTTTTATTTCCATATGCAAAGAATAAAGCATCATTGTTCATGTAATAATCTAATATTAGCCTCATAACTCTAGGAAGAGGAAATAGTGATGAAATAATCAAATAAATGAAAATACAGAGTTGAGTTTATTTATTTTATTTTTGTTTTTACAGGGACAGTGCACATTAATCAACGTTTCAGTAAAAGCGCCGGTTTTAGCCAGCTGGCTAATTTTCAACCGCAGTAATAAATGTTTTTGAACTACTACTTATTTTATAAAAAAATGTAAAATTCAGTGCAAAGTAATGTATTGCATTGGTGTCTAGATCCCTGTTAGGTGGCAAAGTGTCACAATAATACTGTGGGGAGAGAAAACAAGAGAATACATTAATTTAATGGGTGTTAACTAATCAGGGTTCAACAAAGCACTTAAAGTTCTCAATTCCTTCACAAGAGAGAGAGAGGGAGAAAATGTGAGAAGAGAGAGGGATGAGAAAGGAGTATGGTCCCTGCAGTATGACTACATGCTGGCCATGAGGTTCTCCAAGTGGTACTCCAGGAGGCTGGAGAGCTCAGTGACCAGAGACTGGGTTAAAGTACCAGGCCAGCTTCTGGCCAAACATGTCATCTAGCAGAGCCATCAGCCCGCCCTGAAGAGAACACCACACAACACATAGAAAATGGCTCTGAGTTACTAGCTTATCAAGAGGAGAGAGACAATGAGCACTACTCCCCCTAAAATGGCATTGAAACCTGGTTAACCATTAATAAGGAAGTAAAAAGGAAGTAAACTAAGAATACGGAAGTAAACAGGAAGTAACCTCTTGACTCATTGAGCAGCAGCAGGTATCTCTCAGCCTCTGGCTCCATTTTGGCAGCAGTGGGCAGGAAGGAGTACAGGAGAGCATACAGACGCTCCACGAACCCACCAGGGTGCTAAAGGAAAAGGAGGAGAAAAGAGGAATTTAAGTGAAACTGCTAAGAGACATCAAAACATGTACCAGTGAGATGCTACTTACCACCATCAGGGACTTCTGAGCTGTCATCATCCCAAACAGCACCAGCTCAAAGAGGACATCAATCAGGTTAACATGATGGATCTAGGACAAGAAAACACGTTTGGAGAAAATAGGAATGATTTCATATAGATCAGCTACTGTCATTTATAAAAGACATGCATGTGGAAGAACTCAAAGTGAGACTTGAAAGAGTTAATGAACTCACCTTTGCCTCAGCCAGCTCCCTCTCAATGTCAATCTGCTTGGAGGGGTCACTCAGGTAGTCCACAAAGTTGTTATAGGCACGGATGAATTTGGCCTTGTCCTATGACAAAGAAAATAGCATCTTAGTGAACAGAACACATTTCCCTTGACAGACAATGAGTTAGTGAGTTACCTTGTGGTTGGCCTGAACCAGTGCGCCCAGGAGGACCTTTCCCACCACAAACAGATGGTTCCTGCTCAGGGTGGAACCGAGCAGGGTCTAGAGAAAAGGGAAGAGTTAGGGTGAGACATTTTCCTCTAGGAGACAGACAGAACAAGAAGTCACAGAGAGAAAAAGAAAAGTGGGTCCACTCACAGTGAAGGCCTGGCGCAGGGAGACGAGCCTCAGGGCGATGTCCTCCACTATCTTGGTGGTAAGGTAGAGGCTGTGGGAGGGAGGGAATGGAGCATGTCAACCAGTAGTCAATGGGGGATAACAGCATTGTGACCACTATCCTTCAGCATCTGACAAGCCCAGACTACACAGACATTTAGAGGAACTCAGTTTAGCAGAGGAACCTCCCTCTCCTCAGGCAGCAGGTCCTCCTCCCATCCCTACAACAACAAAACAAGCATTCAAAATCAGTGACCAATGCAATGACATAACAAATAATCGGTCAATCGAAGGATCTTAATGTGCCTAGTCAATAGTATGTATGTGTGTGTGTGTGTATGTAACATCTGACCTCATAGCAGTTGTGGGCCTCTGGCTCAGTGAACTGCTGAGTGGTGGGCATAGAGAAGGAGGCAGCCTCAGACCACGCTGAAGAGGAGAGCAGCCTGTCCAGCCCCATGTGGAGAGTGCCACGAGACATCAGTCTGCTGCTCAAAACACGCACAACACACCTGTTTACCACACACACGTTATTAGAAAACTGACCAAATCTAATGCAAAAATGCCCAGTAATGTCTAGTCTATATACATAGGAAATCGTTTATTACCTAGTTGCAGCCAAGCGTCACCTCCACAGACTTCTCGTGGCGGAGGTGAGACGCATACTGGGGTCACCCTGCCAGCCACATACTGACAGAGAGAGAATACATTTACATAACATTTTAGTCATTTAGCAGACGCTCTTATCCAGAGCGATTTACAGTTAGTGAGTGCATACATTATTAATTTTTTCATACCCACAACCCTGGCTTTGCAAACGCCATGCTCTACCAACGTATTTTCTTTGCCCTATGTTATAAATAACATAATTAATCATTAGATTGTTCGCTACAATATTATAACATTAATATACTTGTACTTGACAGTGTTGATTAAATAATAACGTTAATTTGCTGTGACCATTGCTAGTTTAGACTGCACCGCTCTTGGTTGTATATCTTCCAAATCAAATCGTATTGGTTATTGCGGGTGTAGCGAAATGCTTGTGCTTCTAGCTCCGACAGTGCAGTAATATCTAACAAGTAATATCTAACAATTTCACAACATATACCCAATACACACAAATCTAAGTAAGAAATGAATTAAGAATATATACATATATGGACGAGCGATTTGGTGTTCCATATTGGTGTTGTGAGGTGATACGATTTGGAGGCGTTGCCGCTGGTTGGACCAATCAAAATCAACTTGATACCTTCTTCATTTTCACCTCCAGATCCTTCCTATTACCTATAACCGCGATCAATCTACGTTGAGAGGGGCCGTTCTATAGCGTTTTAAAGGGAAAGACATATATATATATATACATATATTTAGTCCCTATTTAGTTTTGTATTCAGCGGATTTCATTAATAAAAAGCATATGTTTTCACTCACGTACCTACAGCCACTAGTTAGCTTGTAAATTGAATTTCGAAGTTAGCGCCGTTCTGCCGCGGAGTTCTATTGAACGGTGACCACTTTTTGATCATGCCTGTGATGACGTTCCATTTAATCTAAACATGCTAAATTCTCAAGAGTAAATCGTCGGTAACTTTTGAACCATATACGGTAGATACATGGGGTTTGGACTATTGTTTTCTGACAGAATTTTCTATTGAATGGGAATATTTGTAAACCTTGAAATAATTAATAATTTGATGGGTGAACACCCTATATATTATTGACTATTTTGCCACCAGAGGCGTTCCTATATTGTTGGTATAATATAAAATACAAATACCAAATATTGTTTTATAAAGTCACTAGCTACGTTGGAAGAATGAGACAAGGTGATTTTTTTTTCTGGTGTTGTTTAACTCCTGAAAGTATTTGCCTCAGTGGCAGTGGCGGCTCCTGAAAAAATTCTCAGGGGGGGCAATTTTTCTGATGATTTAGGTGACCTACACACATTTAAAAAAAGATATGTCCAGCAACAACATGAAGACAGGGGCAGCATATAAGTCAATACCAGAAGCATTTATTGACTGATCTCAAAAGTGTTGGCTTACAAAAGCAAAATAAGTTATCACAGTAACAATAATCAAGGGTGTTCTTTCACATTCCTCAACACTGCATAAACAATATGCATTTCCATAAAACACCTCATCTAATTGTGCCACAAAGTTGACAAGTCCAAGAAAAATACCAGGGTTGGTGGAGCCCTCAGTTTCATCTTTGCCTCGCAAAGCTAACTCAAACACTCCGCAAAACTTCACACACTGGATTAGCCGGCTGAGGATGTGGCGGTTCTTGCTAACCTCATCGTTGTGGCGGCGGACAGCTAGCCTGTATCCCTCATCCAGTTGAGTGGCAATGTTCACTCTCCCCAAAGCAGACAATCTCAAACAGCTATCCATGTGGGTCTTTGACAGCTCATGTTTCTTAATCTTTTCTGAAAGATGGTGCATGTCCGTTACACCAGTCGCTGTCCAAGCGGTGCTGTCTGCCGTGCCGCCTTCAGGGTGAAAGAGTAAGCAGGGGTAGCAGAAGACTGCATTAGCTACATCGCAGCCTGCTAGCCAGGTTTTTCGTTCGTACCAATTTTTGGAAAATCCTCGGGTGTAGGACTTTCCCCCTTTAGTAGAAACCTGTTGAATTATTAAATTTGGTCTGGGAGGTCCTAATTGTTTCGTTGCCAATTTATCTTGATTTGTTCGCCGACAAAAAGGAACTTCTTTCAAAGAGACAATCGAGTTGCACTGAACGCTAGCCATCTTGACAGTAGTACGTGAATTGATTGACGCTGCTACCCGCTCTTTTCTTAGTTACGTTCATGGTTATGTTACGTATGACGAAAGCGCGTAAGTGCAAGCCCTCCCGGAACCCATAGAGATTGTATTGAAAGCTCTGATATTTGAAAAAAAAAAGATTTTACATGAGAGTCTATGAGAGACTTCTGGGGCGATTTTCAACCTGACTGAAATCGCCCCAAAAGGGGCGGGGCCATTTGAAGCACGACTTTAGCCTGATTGGACATTTAGTGGCAGATCAGACGTCTAGATTAGAACACTGATAACTACTGTTGCCGTGATATAATTGATTATAAAAAAAATCCCTTCCTTTTCCCGTTTGGCAGTGCGTCGCCCATATCGCCCTAATGAACACACCGCCCCTGCTCAGTGGGCTATAAAGTATTGTGGAGGACAGAGGACCCGGCTTCATTAAAACATACCTTCACACGGCCTTCCGAGTGGCGCAGCGGTCTAAGCCACTGCATCTCAGTGTTTAAGGCGTCACTACAGATCCCCTGGTTCGATTCCAGGCTGTATCACAACAGGCCGTGATTGGAGTCCCATAGGGCGGCGCACAATTGGCCCAGCGTCGTCCGGGTTTGGCCGGTGTAAGCCCTCATTGTAAATAACAATTTGTTCTTAACTGACTTGCCTAGTTAAAAAATATTGACCAAATTCAGACAAGGGGGGCCCACTGAAAAAAGAGAGCACTGAAGGATCCAAATAATAATAACCCATGTCTCTTTTATAACAGGATAATATCATTGATTATATCAAAGTGCATGTATGAATGAGTCTGATTTACATTTTTTTAATGGCAGGTTCACCTTCTGAAACCGGATGAGGTTCCCAAAGCGTGCTGCGCACCCACCAAGCTCAGTCCCATCTCTGTACTCTTCTACGATGACAATAACAATGTGATCCTAAAGAAGCATCGCAACATGGTGGTCAAGACCTGTGGATGCCTGTGACACCTATGGTAGCACATCTATCAATTCTACACCATTTTAATCAATTTGACTGCCATTGTCCCAAAAGATACAAACGAGGTAATATAACTTGCAACCAGTAGTTGATAGCAATAATCTGACAATATGCTGATAAATAGTATGTATCTAATATATTGATTTTGAGTCAGAGATTGGTATATGAACAACACCCATTGCCTCCTTCTTAAAGAAATCCTCAATTATTATCTTCACATTGGACTTATAACCATAATTCACTCTTAATTAACTAAACTATTCAAATCTACAGTAATTCAGATAATTACATCACCCTTTCATGTAATATATTCTGTGACCAATCAAAGCTGCAAAGTACTGTATTAGAACTTCAATCAATGCTAAAATTCTACCCTTTTGATGGCTATAGTATCTTGTTGAACCATTAATTTATCATTGTCTCTTTTAGATGTACTACACATGGTTAAATAAAAAAGCTAAATATATGGACCATAAATGCTTTGCAAAGATTACACGTTTTTTTCCCTTCTTTAATTATACTTTTAACCAGTACAAGTTAGTAGCAATGGAAAATGTCAAATTATTTGCCATTTTTATATGTACAGAGGATCCAATACACAGTGATGTATGTCCTTGTCAACAGATTTCTGGAGGACTGTATACTGCTATATTTGTAATAAAATAATAAACTATACTGAACAAAAATATAAACACAACATGTAAAGTGTTGGTCCCATGTTTCATGAGCTGAAATAAGATTCCAGGAATTTTCCATACGCACAAAAGCTAATTTCTCTAATATTTTGTGCACAAATTTGTTTACATCCCTGTTAGTGAGCATTTCTCCATTGCCATGATAATCCATCCACCTGACAAGTGTTGCATATCAAGAAGCTGAGTAAACAGCATGATGATTACACAGATGTACCTTGTGCTGGGGACAAAAGCCCACTAAAATGTGCAGTTTTGTCACAACACAATGCCACAGATGTCTGAAGTTCTGCGGGAGCGTGCAATTGGTATGCGGACTGCAGGAATGTCCACCAGAGCTGTTGCCAGAGAATTGAATGTTAATTTCTCTACCATAAATCGCCTCCAACGTTGTTTTAGAGAATTTGGCAGTACGTCCAACTGGCCTCACAACCGCGTGTAACCACGCCAGCACAGGACCTCCACATCCGGCTTCTTCACCTGCGGGATCGTCTAAGACCAGCCACCCGGGCAGCTGATGAAACTGGGAGTATTTCTGTCTTTAATAAAGCCCTTTTGTGGGGAAAAACTCATGCTGATTGGTTGGGCCTGGTTCCCCAGTGGGTGGGCCTATGCCCTTCCAGGCTGGCTGCACCCTCACCCAGTCATGTGAAATCCATAGATTAGGGCCTAATGAATTTATTCCAATTGATCGATTTCCTTATATGAACTGGAACTTAGTGAAATTGTTGCATTTATATTTTAGTTCAGTATAGAATATTTATTGTAAGAGGTTGATTTGATGCAGAAGAGAGAGTAAATGGCAGTGAACACAGATCTCCAGAAACACATTTACAAGTCTATCCTAGACAGTGTCACCTCTATTCAGCTACATAGCCTTGCAGTATATTGGAAATACATTTGAAAATACTTATAAATATGCATTTATCTGGTATCAGTATAGACGGAATGGCGTTTAACTTGCATCCAGAAGTCCCGATTTTCTGCTAGGATTACAAGGCATACATATTCTCTCACACACACAAATGTACTCACTGCTTTCCTTCAGAATGGATCAAATAGGCAGAGGAATGCTTTCATATATATTGCAACATTTATTGGAAATGGTCAAATGCAAAAAAACAATTGTTACAACATGGACCCGGAGACTATCAAAAGTGATTTTTGCATACACAGACCAAAACTACTATGGGATTTGGCATTGTTTCGACCAGGGCCTTTGCAGGCAGAACAAGGCTCGGTCTTGGGCTACTAACAAATCCTTTCCACCATGACACCATTCTCAAAGAAAGCAGAAATGATCGAGAACATTTGAACAAGAGTGTATGGGAGGAGGTATAGAAAAGAGTTTGGGGCAAAAGTAGGACAGCGGTACACAGGTGAGAAAAAGTAGGAAAAGAAAGTCACACCATGAAACTTGTAGACGTAACAGTCTAGATGTTATTGAATCAGGAATTAAGTGAAGGAAGCAGCATAGGGAAATGGGATGTAGGTAGAGTGGACTCAGAAGTAGTCCTGTGTGGCTCAGTTAGTAGAGCATGGCGCTTGCAACGCCAGGGTTGTGGGTTCGATTCCCACTGGGGACCAGTATGAAAAATGTATGCACTCGCTCTGGATAAGAGCATCTGCTAAATGACTGAAATGAAATGTAAGATGGGTGCTTCAATAGAGTCTGAAGTTCAGGAGTGGTTGGACAGATAAGGGGTGCTGGTGTGCTTCTGCCCCCATTTTAGGTCGTCAAACAAATATTCCCCCACCCATGTCCAGGGGTCTCAGTGTTTTGTCCCTTGACGCCATTATATCAGTTGCTGTGTTCAAATCGTGTGTCTGTGAATCACAACATGAAAAACAATGAGTGACAACATTTCCACATATTGAGCCATACAAAATATAACTGAAGCATAGGGCAAGATTTTGCTGCTAACGTATACTGCAAGTCAATGATGAGAGCGTCTTACCCCAGCTGTAGGTCCATTGTATGTGTGATCGTTTAAGCCTCAACATCAACCAGCTCTGGTGGCATTGGGGACTTAGGATGCTTGCTCTCAAAATGCTGCTTGAATGTCTTCGGGTCCGGCATCTGCGTCTGTAAGGGTCAGGTAAGGAATGGCTGATATTAACAATCATTGGCTGCGACTGAATTTTCAGGTGACAAACAAAGCAATAAGATGCATCAAACTACTACACATCACACAGGCCAGTACAATGGACTACACAGAGAGAAACCTAAAGGTAGGCACGTCAAACGTTCAGGTTGCTGCACAGACTATGGAGGCTCTAGAGCGCCAGGATAAATTGTGTTTGAGAGCATTTGTTAAACTCTCTAAAATGGTTAAATGAATGTAATTTTTGCAATAGTTTGAGTGGGCAACATATACTATCATCTTAAAATTGACATGTTCAATTATTTTGCCATAGTAAATTAATGTATATTGCGCTCATTTCCCTAATGTGGACAGTTTGTGTTACTACCTTACACAAGCCTGCATTGTCACCCTATAAAATTGAATGGAATTAAACAATTTTTACCTCAGATTGGTGATGTTAGTATAAAAGTTTATAGACGTCACGATTACATAAGATTGATTGATAAACCAGATCAATATCTTTGGTTTTGTACCGTTGATTTTGTCACCCGCTGGGATGCGCAGGACTTCGAACGCAGAGTTAATGAAACGGCACAGAAAATTTGGGCCGGTCTCTCTATAAAAGTCGCTGGCCACACACCGATACATGGATTTGACAGTCAAACTATTACTTAAATATGTTGTCACTGTTGATATCCTATGTCAGGTCATGTTTTCGTTTAGGTTAACTAACAAAAAAAGTGGTCTAGTCCTTTTTCCGTGATGGAAGCCTCCCGAAATCAACATCCCAAAATATAGACATAAGCCTTCAAGTTTTCATCTAACCAATCATGTATAGGTTATTCCAAGTTTCCGTGTGGCTTTTGAATAGTGTTAGTTCAAACAGCACTACACCTGAAACATTTGCCCCCTGTTCTATTGATTTCAGTGTGATATCAATGGAAGTGATTAACAAAAATAGTGTTGGTTTTTGTTGTTGTGTTAATTTCAACAGCGCGTACAACCTGATTGAATATATTGGAAGAACTGGCCACATTTACTTTTCGCCAGCCAACAAGATGAGTAGGCCTAACAAACAGCAAAAGCACCAACCTATGTCAATCTAGTATCCCCCATAGTACAAAAGTTGACCTATTCTATTCTGTGCAATAAATAAATATTCCAAACATAGTCTGGGACAGTTGTGGAATGCGATAGATGCCCAATTAATACAACCGCTAGCATAAAAAAAACAGTTTTAAGCAATGAGCCTGACGCAACAGATGAGAACATTTAGCTTAAAATGTTGATAAACTATTAGGCTATTTCTTCACATTATAAGCGCAGCAATGTGCACACGGTAGTAGGCTATAAGTGCGAATGTTCCATTCACAGGAAAACACCATTCTCAAAAGTGATCACATGCAATTATGCATGTAATGCTTTTATTATAAAGGTGCATTTTTATGGTGAAAAGGATCTTCCCCAAATTTGAGACTCATGAGCTGCGTATGCATGCCAGTTAGGCTCTACACCAGTTGTAATGCGGATTAATGTGCTTCATTTTAAGAAGTTATTTGGCCTCTTTAGTTACATTTTAGTCATTTAGCAGATGCTATCCAGAGCAACTTACAGTTAGTGAGTGCATACATTTTCATACTGGTCCCCTGTGGGAAACGAACCCACAACCCTGGCGTTGCAAGCGCCATGCTCTACCAACTGAGCTACAGGGGACCCTAGTTGTGATACAAACCGTATCAAAACATATAGGTGTGCGACTATGATTTGAAAAAGTTGCAAAAAAGCTGGGCATCATTCACAAATAATAATTCACAAGTGATAGGCTAATATTGCCACTCATCACACTATTCTTGATTTAATCTTTTCTTTATATATACTAAATAATATATGTGTAACATTTATTTAGATTTAGAATGGACCATTATCATGCACCAGTCTCAAACGGGCAGCGGAAAAAAATACATATCATCTATGCCCTTAAATAGCGAATGAGGACGCTTTCCCGTGGTTCATTTTCATGCCAGCCAGGTAGGCTATACTCCTGTTGTAAAGAGAAGTATTGTGCTTAATATTAGGAAAGTTGAGAAATAAATATAGTAGGCCTAGCCTATAGAAAGCTGATGGGATCCTACTCTTTTTAATAGAGGCCATCACTGTTTTCTCAACCAATTGCATAGCCTATAGAATTGTTGCGCAACATGAGCTCTCATGAAGTGTTTGATTAGATTGTCGATTACATTTGCATTGATGTCAGAGTGATTAGAGGGACAATAGAGTGCTAAGTACAAGGCAGTTATCAAGTTTGGTAGGCTACTAATGACCGTCAGCAGCATCAGAGCTTGGTCACGTGGAATTTGACTGCCGTCATGACTCGGTAATACAGTCACCGTAACAGCCCTAGCCCTGCCTACTAAAGGCACATAAAGTACCAACCACTAATACTCACCCTACAGACAGGACAGGTGTGGACCAGTGCTGCCTTGGCTGCAGTCTTCTGGTCTGCTGCTGCTCCCTTCTTCTTAGCAGCCGCCGCCTTGGCGTTCTTTTGCTGGGATTGAATCTTCTGTTGCCCGCGAGCCATAGCCTACCTGAGAGAAATAGACTTAGAAAAATGCAACCCATAGCATTGATATTTATCTGTTGATACCAGTATCTCAGTCTTGTCAGCAATCTAGCCATCTATGAAGAGAATGTACAAGTGAATTTAGCTAAACAAGTGACTAACCAGCTGACAACTAAACAAGAGATTATGTAAGATTATATACCTAGCTAGCTTGTATTTA